ATACCACAATATGTCTAAAACTAAAAATCCAAACATAATGTTTTTTTTTTGCTTTTATCCTATTGTAAGTACGTTGAATGTGGAAATGTATGGACTTTGCATATACCATATACCTAATTGTTAATTTGTCAATCTATACTATTATATAAAATCTAATGTTGTCTTTCTGCAAGGGGGGGGGGATATCCGAAATTTCAGGTCAATTTTGCCCAAATTTGATATCTAACACTAGTTAAATATCTAACATTTCCGGATAGACTGTATTTAATGACGTTTGAGACTGAGGTCAAAATGTTCATAAGGTTACTTATTATCATCATTAGTTTCCCAAGACGTAATAATTTCAACACCACTCGTTCCCACCGACGTTGCAGCAGTCGATGAGTTATCGTTTATGACACATAACACAAAACTAAAACATTCATATCGTCGCTGTGGAAAAAAACTGAATCAACAAATAAATACAGCAATGACAATCGATATACCTACCACATACCATACAGTACCACATTAAAGACAGTTCACTATAAATAGACACAATAGAGTACTGGACATTCAAAAAGAGTTCAGCTATGATAAATTTTATCAATAAAATTACAATAACGTCCAACCTTAAATTTTAATCTTGTGCTCATTAATATTATTTCCTTTCTCGAGTTTTACTTTTGTCTAGCCTAAATTATCCGTGAGCTCAAAGACGAAGCCGTATGATGCAATACCGAAATCTCATTCAGTTGTTTATCGGCTGTTCATTCATTTGATTTTACTTTACAATTCAATTTATCTAGAACAAACAGAGATAAAGCAGAAAAGAACTACCTACGAAGGTCAAGTGAAAGTCAATTTGTGTAAATGTCTGTTACTAGGAGCGCTACGCTACGACGATATTGCAGTGATATTCTTAAATATTCTTCTTTAAATATTTAAATATTTTTAAATAATATATTTTTTTTAATATTTTTTATAAATATTAAATATTTAGTTTTCCCCATTTAAACAATGTTAAATTTTAACATTGTTAAACGGAGAAAACTGAAGGTATGGCAAGAAAAAAAATATTTCTTGTTATTCATTGTCCAAACTAAGCTTATAAGATATCGTTTTAATCTGCATAAAATTTACTAAAATTTACATCTCCGGCAAATAGTTGTTAAAATTGACGGTTTTCGTGGAATTTTGGCATCAAATGTTTGAAAAAGCCGCCATTTTTTACGGTTCAAGAGTTTATTCATATTTTGCACAAACATAATGGTGAATAAGATAAACAACATAAGATTTTTACAGAATTTCAACTCTGTAGCTTAAGCAGTTAAGGAGTTATGAATGTTTGTTAAAAATCACTTACAGGCAGATAGACCGAGAACAGAATGAGATAGGACACGTGTTATGTTACATTTTTTTTTCTTTTGACATGCTGAATAATGTGACAAAGTTTGTTCATTTGGTTGCAAGACACACCTCATTCATTCATTTCACTCATTCATTTGGTTGTACAGTTATAATCTTTCACCTTCCACTGTGGATCTCAAGTTATCTAACAGAATATAAAATATAAAGTACTACATTTAACATTATAAACATTACTTATCAACATTATCCGTATGGAAAGGTAGAAGTAAATCAGTATATAATTTTTACATTGTGTGTTAATGTTAAAAGGTTTATGTTAAAATGCTTCTGGTTGCAGCATTTCATCAGTCATGCTTTCATTAACAAACCCACATACCTCATAGTTGTCTCTAGTTTATCTCTACTGTTTCCACCTTCAACTAACCACTTTATAATATTGTAGATTTGTGCATGGTGTTCAAAAAGTGCATGGTGTTTTGACAGTTTTGTACTAACTATTAACTTAGATTATCACTTTTTGGAAATTGGAATGATTTAGGAGGAAAACGGAAACTTCTACCATTAAAATGGTTTTAAAACTGGCTTTCTTCTCTGAAAAATCCAATTAAATAATTTATGTTCTGTTCTAGATTTCATTATATTTTTTCCCAAAACATGCAATAATATCTTTAAAGATATACAGCTATACACAACTCAATGCTTTTTGCAATTAGAGTTAGTTCAGTACACATTCTACCATTCACTCTTACTACATTATGAAACAAGACTGTATACTTGACTTGTATGGACTCATCACGGTTATCTCAGATGGAGTAGTGGTCATAATTCTTCCCCCTGTTGAGCTTCCACCTTATATTTGTTAATTGTTCTTAAAGACATGGTTGACAAATTCTGGGTGTAGAAAGCTTAGATGCAGGAGTAACATTTTGTCCAATTAGTTGTCCTCCAGATATTTCTGTTTTTCCAGTAACTTCACCAGCTGTCTGGGGAAATAACAAACTGAAAAGAAATGGTAAACTGTCTTGTATTAGTTTAAATGACACAATGAACAATTATAGTTTTTGTAATAACCAAGTTTTATAATTTATTTAGGTCAATTAGTTCTGTCGTAGCCTTTATTGCCCAGGAATTTAGACCATGATCATTCTTATCGCCAAGGTCAAGCATTGGTTGATTACTGTATATGCAAAACATAAAAATGCAGATGTGACTATGAAAACCGTGAATTTCATTTTGAAGCTAGTATGGGAACTCTTGACATAGTGAATCTAAAATTGATGTATTGTCTTATTTATTTTTTTAACTATGATTTCTTTAGTAATGTTTAACGCAGATCTTCATGGGCTGGTGAAGGGTCTTAAATCTTTTATCAACTGTTGCTGTATCAAAGTCACACCCTAGCTAATTGAACAGTTTTAATTCAGTAGAGGACCTTTGTACTGTTTATTTTAAATCAAAATCATGATCATACGACAGTTAGGTAAAACTAAACACGATCACAAAGCCAACTTTTGGACTAACATTTAATATGGCCACCAGTGCTTAAGACTTCAATTTGAAAGGGATGACATTCTTTTTACACATTTAAATGTTTTCTAATACAATTTCTCATGATATCAAGACAAAGAAATGGATTGACATAGCATAGAAAGCAAAAACAGTCGGAATTTTCAACAAAGAAAAAGATTCTGTATTATCAATGAACAGACATTTTTTACGCAACGATGTGCATCTGCTGTTGTGTGATATTGGGCACCACAGCCTAGCCAGTGCAGTGCACACAAAATTTGTTCCGCTGGTTGGAGCGCATTGTATCTCTTTGCAAGGGCCTGCCAATTCTCTGATTTAATAACTCAACCACAGGTCCTTGAAGGCAAAGTCACTTAAAGGATTGTGGAGGTTTATCCTTGGTTTGAAAACCCTTGGTAATCTAATGACCTCTATATCTCCAACATCACTATCATTACAGTCACTATAACTACTACTGCTACTATCGCTTGAACTCATAACTTGTTGAAAATTTGATAAAGAAAGTAAAATTAACCTTAAAAACTACTGTTTACATACATACTACTAAAGACAATGGCTTGACACACACAGACCCCTATGTAAATTTTATTCCGACAATTTGTCAAAAATCACCTGTCACACTAGAAGTTTCATGAAACACAAATCTGACAAATTTGTCAAGACATTGACATATTTGTAAAAAATATTTGACATAAAATTTTTAAATTTTAAAACTTATATGAAACAGAAATTTGTAGAATTGTAGATATGTCAAATATACCTGTTACCTGACACCTTTTATGAAACAGAGCCTAGCTTATTGCCAAACTGCCATACCACTGTATTTGGACGTCTTTCTTTTGCCGGGGTTTACTCTTGTTTACATTTTATTTCCATTCAAGTCCGCTGATTGTGTCTCAGATTATCTTCAGCTCTCCTGATGCTGGAATTAATTTTCTTTCAAAATGATTTCACTCCACATTTTGTTAATGTTTTTTTTCCGAGCAGATGACTTTTAATCATGGTTTCTACTAACCTCCACTCTCTTGGTACTTAAGTTTTTAAATTTGCAGACTTTTGTGGTAGATTTTCTAGCACAGTGAATTGTGAACCTTAACCACATGTGTCCCTTACATCATGTCCGTGATTATCACTCATTTGAGTCAATCGAAACCGTGACAAATCAGGTTTATATACTGCTGAATGTATCTGTTCAAGTTGTGGTTTGTATCAGGATACTGAGTGCACTTTGCTGGATACATCATATTAAAAAATATACCCCAGTCACAGACCTACAGACTAAGTAAATTTCCATTTGCCTGGCCATTCACTGGTGCTCTCACCCTATAAGTGGTTCTAAGGGTTCAATCCCTATTGAAGAGTTCATTGTCATCAGGTTTGGACAAGATAGTAACAAAAGTTGAGAATATCTTGCTTGCATATTGACGTAGATTTATACTGTACCCCAAAGATTATTATAAGCAACAGCATAGGTACCTTGAGTTATTAAACACAAATATCCACTAGCAAATTTCTCAATTTTTTTAGTCTCACCATAAACACCTATCAATTGGGGATGAATTTCAATATGCCAAACAAGGAGTTGGCTCCTCGAGCCACAAAAATGAAATCACAGACCGTACAATTCATACCATGCAAAAGCATCGTTGTTCTTTCCTATCATTAACGGCTACTACGATGATACTGAGACTTGGGGAACAGCTACAATAGTAGTAAGGGTTGTACAGAACCCAGAGCTAGTGTTGAGATTTCAACTAGCTCCTTCCGTCGCCACAGAACCTCGTAGGAGACCATAATTTACAGACAGTCCTTCTACATTTTGGTTTAAAGTTGACATTACTGTACATGATTAACCCCCATGAATATCAAATTTAAGTATGTACCAATTTCAAAAACCTATCTATCTGTTGGTTTTGCTCCTAAATTACACAAAGGTCGTAGATAAATTTTAAAGTCTTTTAATAATTTAAAGTTTGCTTATAATAATTAATGCTTGCTTCGCCAGGTTAGTAGGGTCTTCATATTTAACTTTTAATCATAAACTTGTTAAATGGTTACCAAAGCAAACAAATATACAATGGCAACCAATATTAATAATTGGACATTTCTTTTTGTTTCAGGTACTCTTGTGAATACTGTGACGTTACAGCAAAATATAAACATTCCATAGTAACCCATGCCAAGAAATCTCACCCGGATAAGCCCCCCATGGTCAAGACATTTTTGAAAACATTTGAAGAAAAAATGGATGCATATAATTGCATGTATTGTAATTGTACTGCCTTAGACCTAAACACGTTAAAACATCATTGGACAAATGCGCATAAAAATAGTGGTTTGAACTTTCTCTTTAGGAACACAGTTTTCAATACAGAACTTGATTATGAGTGTTATTGGTGTAAAAAAAGGAGTGATTTAGAAAGTTTAGAGGAACACTGTAGGGAAGAACACTCCGTGGACCAGCGATTTCTCGTCACCTCTGTGTCAGTGCCTAAATACAAGTGTTCTCTGTGTAAATTTGAAAATCTGTTTAAATCTGTAGATATCTTAAAAAGACATTTTGCTCTGATTCATCCGTCCAAAAAAATCTCTTACGTTGTTGTTGAACCTGAAAAACCTGTAATATTTTCTCACCAAAATTCTCCTTCCTCATCTAGTGAGTCAGAAAAATTACCCCAGCTCATTTCCACTACTACATCAACCATGTCTTACCAATGTTTCAACTGTTCATACGGTAGTCCTAAACTTTGGCTCATTGTTAAACACATGGAAGGACATTTTGATACTTTTGTTTGTAATGAATGCACTAGTTGGTTCCCATCAGCAGTAGAATTCAGGAGTCATATGCTGAACAAACATCCTTCTTCCATTTCAAGACCGAAAATCCTCAAAGGGTCCGATACTGACATCGAAAACGCAAAAAAAAATATTATGGTCATTTTAGAATCAGGAGTAAGAAGGAAAATCACTGAAGAAGAATTGGCTGAAGCTGAAAAAGAAAGTGAATCCGATGAGGAAAATACAGAGATTTACTTAAGTGACGAGACTTTAGAAGAGAACCTAAGTCCTCCTCAGATTAAAGAAACTGCACGAAAGTCAACTGGATATCGTTTGACTCCTCCGAAACACACTTCGCCTCTATTAGAGAGGGTCCAACATAAATCACCTCATAGATTTCAAAAGGAATTGTTTCCACCCGACGAAGAAAGTGAAGACTTGGAAGATACTTTCGTGGCTGTAAAGATGCATGGTAAAATAATCCGACTACCTACTACGACATTTAGAAAGTTGATCAACTGTGACCCTGACCTCATGTTACCAGATGTGTTTTGACCAATGCTTGACTCGGACATAACACTCATAGACCACGACTACTTATAAGAGACCATTTTTACACATTGCCATGAATAATTCCTTTGCAGTTAAATGAACACTATTTTGTATACATTATAGTTTAGTATTTAATATTTCTGTTGTCGTATGATGAATTTAAAAATGTATACCTGACCATATCATTTTATAATTAAATCGACTTAAGTTTTGTATTAGGCTATTGTTATTAGGCGAGTATTCACTGTTATGTTATGTGAATATTCATTTGTACAGTTCAATATGTATCAATATGTAACTATAATGTGAATTTTGTACAAAATGTAAATTGTAAAAATTCCGAATTTTGTATTTTAGTACTTGACATAGGAATCTTAAAGTCATTTAGCTTTATTGTGATATTAAAATAAGTATTTCTAGACTATTAAGATTCGTACAATTATCTCAAAGTAAAAATGATTACAAGTATTTTCTTTTAATGTGATGGAAAATCCATTTCAAACAAAGGAAATATTATTGCCTTTACAAATTATTTTTTCAGTTATCGATCAAATTACTTCACATTTACTATTACAGTACTACACATGATCATTTTGAATTTTTAGAAATATATTATCAATACTATCATATTTGTTTGGTTGTAATACTTATTTGGGCAACTTATGGGCAAAGTGTTACTTTTTTAAAACAAGATAAAAATGTTGACGCTCCTGAGTATAAACGTGTCAATTTTAATGAATTTAAAAAAGACATTGCGCCCTAGTTGCACATCATATTTTGTCTACAGTTGTTATTAGATGACAACAAATCTAAAACTATAAATCTTATTTGAGTAATAACAAAAATGCAATATAACACTGAGGTGATGTTTTGTAGTTGAGGTGCATTGTTTGTTGACTGTTGAAGCAAAGGCATAATATCATTACCACCTGGCAAGAAAAATTCTCTTCCGTTTACAAACTGTCTTTATAAATAATTACTTTGTTTTTCCAACTAAAACGTGGCTTTGTTATTCATTTGTGGCATTTTATGTATAAGAATTAATATAATCTACATACCTTTTCCTTAGGATTTTAAGTTTATTCAGCTAAAATGAGCTGAACTAAATTTTTTTGTCCAGTTGTCATCCGCAGTGAGGATGTATTTGAGAAAGTAAAAGGTTTATAAAACAGCTGTTTTGCAAACTCAATCAATTGAACAAAATGCCACTTTGTTGGACAACTGTAGATGAAAGGTTTTTAAAGACTTTTTTGCAAGTAAGTTACTACAATATTTAGTTACTAATAGTTTGTTATTTTGTTACTTGTCATTATAATCAGTATTTTCTAGGTTATGATAGTTTGTTATTATTCTACAGTTTTTGTTATTTTTTAAATTATTTTGTAATGTAATCTCTAAAACCAATTAAACCGTATTTCTTTTTCAACATTTATTTCTTGCCTTTTTGTTGTTTTAGATTTAAATCCATGCAGCAACCTCTACATTTCTTATTTACCTAACAAACATTTTACAAAAAATGTTTACCTAATAAACATCAATAACAAACTCATGTTAACATCTTTTGACCAGCATTGTTGCAACCCGTTAATCGCGGAAAGTTGCAGCAATGGGATTGTCAAACGAGTCCGTGTTGGCCGCGCGTTGTCGAAGACTACAAAACGTCTATGGCTTTTTCTCATGGCTCTTAGTTTATTATTTGTGTATAATGTTTTACTGTAAAACATGTACTTGAATAATAGTTTTCCCATTCTACATCAGTACACATACACATTTAGTGTATTATATGCTCAATGGCATCTATCCTAATGGGCTTTTCTTTTGTACTGTATTTTATAATTTTCTAGTGTAATGTAGATGGGTTATTTATTATACGTGTATGTTACAAATTTGCATAAAATTATCAATTCCTTTGTTTACATTTGTGTGAAATTATCACAGATACTTGGCAATCTATAAGGCCAGTTAAAAAATTTGAATTAAGGTTTATAGCGAAAAACAAATTTTCCCAGAAAATAGCCTAGCATAGATATTGTTTTTAGTCTAAAACTAAGATATGTCTAACAATTTCGAGGAAATCGTTAAAGCCGTTTTTGAAATCATTGTGCCTGTAAATGTTTACCCATACTATAGTACAGGATAGGATTAACAAGTACTTACCTTTGCTGCTTATGGAAAGGAACATTTTGTTTGTTAAATGTTAAAGCTTATCATGATATAAATAAATTTTTCAATTTTTTATGAAAATACATCCATAAACAATCGAACTACAACTGTATTTTTCATAATAATAAAATGGGAATTTTAAAATGTACAGCTTGGAATTTGTTCTGTAACCATTAGGGGGACGACATCGCTTTAGTATACAAAATTATTTGTTATCCAAGCTCAACACAGAGACGGAAATGAAATTGGGCTTTTGTAGGTTTTAAGGGTAACAATTTGAAAAAAACACAATATTTCGACAAATTTTAAAACTTAAAACACTTTATTCCTATGACTCGATCTTAAGCTATGTACATGGAGACTTAGCAAAGCATGTTCTCAACTAACAATCAAATTACAGCGTACACATGAATCTGCTGTGTTTGGGCCAACAAGCCCCTGAGAGATTCCTCGTAGAATGCCTGTTAGCAGCGGGCCTTGAGTTACAATGTGTGTAATGGGACATTGAGCGTTGGAACGTGTGTTTTGGAGCTGGAGGTATTTAGGTTTTGTGTATTTTAACTGTTTGCACAATGATAATACCTCGAGGTATGGTAACTACAGGTTCTCACAAAGCTCAGAGCTAGACCATGCTGATCTTTCGTTTAATGAAGCATTGGTTATCCAGGGTCGCTTTACTTTTTTTTCCACAACTAACTATAATTGTGGTTTTTTTATTGTGGCAATTTTAAAACTGTAAGAACAAGAGGAAATAAGGGCGAAACAAAACTACGCATACGTAAATGTCGCTCAACTGAGACTTGGAACCACACAAATACTCACACACAACACACTTCAGATCAGTTGCACCAGGACATCAGGTGGCTGCTGGCCCCACAGTTCCATTAGTTAGGCCGTCTTTGCACTATCCCTGCATGTCCTAGGAACCATTCACTCACTCACAGTCACACACACACGCACATCCCCACACAACAACATAGCCTGACAGCCATACAACATTGTATTTGACTGTAGGCGTTAGAAATTGGAATGAATACATGGACACAAAATAGCTGTTGATATGCCCGCGTCCGACTTCCACTAACCATTTGTTTACGAGGTTTCCATAGAGCAATTTTTATAATGACGTTTTGAAAATTTCGATAGGGCCCAGAAGACTTTTTTAGCCACCACCCCACGCTAGGTTCCCAAATTGTAGAATAGACTGTATATATGCATGGTAAATGTTTTTTAGAAGATTTTTTAGAAGGTAAAATTTTGGATGTATTGGAAAAAACAAAAATGAATTTACGTAGTTTACATCTAATTTGATTTATGTGAATAGTCCATTTCAGCCGACGATCAAACATCCCTCGTAAATACTTAAACTCATTCACACATTCAATATTTTCACACTTGTTACATCCATTGGCGGCACCAAACTATGTAATTTTAAATATAAATCTAAGGGATCAAAATCAGCTCTAAGTGAAATTGGCGCATGCAGGCCCGTTTTTGACCCTGTCAGCGCCCTAGGCACATCTAATAGTAGCGCCCCTTTGCAATATATATATATATATAACAGGGTGTCCACCGACCGGGAAATCCGGGAATCATGCGGGGGATTTTTGAACCGTGAATTTTGTATTTATACCTGGAGTTTTCAATTTACCGTGATCGCGCATGACAAAAATTACGTTTCCGTGATAGCGCATGACAAAAATGACGTTTCCGTGATCGCGGGAGACGATAATATGTCTACACACGGCCGCGAGGGATGATCCGAATTTTCCGCGATTGCAGAAGACGATGATGGTATCAACAGAGCCGCAACGGATAATTAGAGTATTGCCGCGATCACAGAAGACGATGATAATGTCCACACGACCGCGGGAAACAGCAAGAATTTTGCCGCGATCGTAGAAGACGATGATGATTCTCCACACGACTGGAGGACATTATTAACATTTTCCCGCAATCGCGGGAGACGATTACGATGTCTTCACAACTGCGGGAAACGATTACGATGTCTACAGAACATCATACAATAATGATTTCTACGCGGCCACGAGGGATGATCACAATAATGCCGCGATCACTCAAGACGATGATAATGTCCACATGACCACGGGAAAAGATCTGAATTTTGCCTCATTCGCCGAAGACGATTATCTCAATATGTCCGCGGGAGATGATTACCATTTTTCCGCAATCGCGGGAGGCGATCACTATGTCCAAACGACCAACGGGGACGATATAATGATGTCTTCACGGCCGCGAGAAGTGATCAGAATTTTATCGCAATCGCGCAAGACGATGATTATGGCCACACGATCGCGGGAAAAGGTCAAAATGTTGCCTAATTTGCGTAAGAGGATGATGACCTCCACAAGACTGAGGGAGATGATTACCGTTTTTCTACAATCGCGGGAGGTGATTACGATGTCCACACGACCGTGGGGCACGATATGATGTCTTCACGACCGCGAGGGGTGGTCAGAATTTGACCGCGATCGCGCAAGACGAGGATAATGTCCTTACAGACCGCGGGAAAATTTCAGAATTTTGCCTCATTTGCGGTAGACGATGATAATCTCCTCACGACCGCTGGATATGTTCATATATTGCCTCGATCATGGAAGACGATAATTATATGTCCAAACGACCTGACTGCAGAAAATAGTAAGAATCTTGCCGCAAACGCGGGAGACGATTACGATGCCTACACGGCCGCGAGGGGTTATCAGAAGTTTACCGCAATAGCATGCAAATACTACCACGATTTTTTTTAATTTCCAAATTTTTGGCGCCCCCAAAAAAAGCCAATTGCCTCGCGCCCTAGGCACGTGCCTACCGTGCCTATTCGGTAAATCGGCCCTGGGCGCATGTATGTTGTTTTTGATAAGTTTACAGTTAGCTTATTCTGGTCAAACCATCGCTTGACAGTGAGAAGGCCGTGCTCGGCGTTGCTGTAGATCTCCGACCAGCTGTCACCCTCGAACAAGAGCGCCGTGTAGTCGGCGTACAGAAAGATTTGTCCTTTAAGTTAATTTTGCCCAAGTTATTTATGTATATTAGAAATAACAGAGGCCCCAAGGTCCAAACCCTGAATAACTTCATAGTCAATTCTTTTTAGCAAACTTTTTTGGTTCAAAATCAAGACAATTTGGAAACGTTCAGCGAGATAAATCTTCAAACCATTTTGAAGTGAATCCTCTCACCCCTATACATTTCAGCTTATTAAGAAGTAATCGTCTGTCAACGGTGTCAAAGGCTTTAGCTAAATCAATAAAGACAATCAAGGGTTTTTTTGTATTACTAATAGAATACATGCAAACAATTAGTTAAAGAAAAAGGTCATCATTTAAATTTTTGTCCGTACGGAATACAAACTGTTTATCAAAAAGTAAATGAAAATTTATTAAGTAGTTTTCTAATTGTTTTCTAACACACTTTTCGATGAGTTTAGCGAGTACACTAGCCAAAGTAATTGGACGATAGTTGATCAATTGATTTTTTTCACCATTTTTAAATATAGGAACTACTTTGCCGACTTTTAAAATTTGTGGAAATTTGCTCTGCGAGAAACTGGTGTTAATAATATGTAAAAGTGGGTATCTCAATTCTTCAAAGTTAGTTTTGAAAAGTCTTGCCGGAATGTAATCAACCCCAGGAGCTGACCCCCCTCATACCCCGAACGACAGCTGACAGCTCCGCCTCACCCACGGGCGACAGCTGGAAAGTGGTATCTGTTTGGAAATCGTCATCGTTGATTACTGGTGATAGAACCTGAGGGACAGCACGAGCTAGGTTGGCACCTATATCTACGCAGTAGTCGTTAAACGCATTAGCAATTTTTTTTATTGAGTCCTCTTCTGAAGTTTGGTTATCTGGTATAAAATGTTTTACAGGGAAATCGTCCTCATTTTTAGTAAGTCCCATAATTTCTATTCTGTTTTTCCAAAGGCGTTGTTTAACGAGTCTAATATTTGATCCTTATAACATTTTTCTTTTGCACTTTTGATTGCAGTATTCAATGTGTTCCTATAGTTTGTATAATGGGACCTAAGTGCTGGGTTAAAAGGTTGTTTTTTCAACTGTTTACTAATTTTATCCCTGACACGAGTAGAATTGACCAGTCCAACAGTGATCCATGGTTTTAATTTGGTTTATTGGACAGAAAAACTTATGTTTGATGTGGCCGCACTTGTGATCTCCTGCAACTGTCGCACAAACTCCTTACAGGCCACATCGACGTCCTCAGTAGCGAGTACCGAGGACCAGTCATGTGACGGCAAAAATCGTTGGGGCCCTTTCCTGTGGCACCCAATCTAAGACCCTTTAATCCCAATGTTATTTAAATAGTTAATTAATCCGACATGTTTGAGAAAATAATTATGCAAAAAAAAACACCATCAGGCAAATCAACAAATGTTAATTCACTAGTACGGGGAATGTCGCTTGGATTGCTGCAACGGGGGTGTTTTGACTGTGTCTTCATTCCTCATATCCACGGTGCTTAATCCAAACAAAAATAGCCTCTTCAATTTTTATGGCTATACTGTAGTGGAATGTGCCATACCCATCGGTGTATATAGTAGCTTCACTATAAAAGTCGATGGCCATGAAACACTGTCATGTGTGGGCAAAGTGTTATCTGAAGTGTGTTGCAACACTCCCATGTGTGCGTTGTCTTAGCTCATTCAAGTTTATCTAGCCTTGTTTACACACAAGTCCAGGCCTTAACCCTCCAAGTGTCCATAGTAATGGTATTAATGTCCGCCCATTTATTGCGCGATCGCAGGGTTTTATTAAAATGTATCTTAGAAACTTAAAAACACTCTAAAGTATACTGTTTTATATATCATTTTGTTTGGGATATATGGGCTTAAATTTAATGTATAAAACATTACAAAAAAAGTTCAAAAATTTTTGTGAGGTTAACATTTCTCAACAATTATAAAATAAATGAAAAAAATTTATGTTTGCGCTCAATAAATTTTTATAATTTATAGGTCTACAAACATTTTAAAATAGCCACTTTGTCCTAAATTTTATGAGGATTCCAAAAATATAATAATATAAGGAAGTATATTTGCAAATAAATAAGTTATGGGTGAAAAACAGATTTCGTACATTTAGCGTCAGCTAAGAATGCATTGCCTAACCATAGCTAGGAATCTGGCGGATAATTTACATCAATATCACTACCTACTTCTTCAGGATCATCAAAATCACTTAAATCTTCTTATAATGCACCACGTATATCACTACTTTTTATTTTTAACACTAAAACAATGATAAACGTAATAAAACACATCAGTCATCGGTGCGAGGTTATCCAAGTTGTTTACAAATATGCACGTCATCTGTCTGCTACAATATTTTCGGAACTAAAATGAAAAGCGTCTAGAAACAGACATCAGGAGAAATCTGCCGAAAACAACGATACCAATCTCGATCCAGTTCAATCTGATTCAGTCAGTCCCAGAGCCTTCGCCATAAACTATGTTTGTGTCGCAAAAGCGACGCAAACACCACAGCGGGTGTGTTGTGCGTCGATTACGCGACGCTTAACACTTGGAGGGTTAATACATTGTTGATAAACACTAACCAGGAACAGTAACTATACATGGAAATCACTTCTTACCAACAGAGAAAATGTATACAGTGTAACGCATTCAACGTTTACAAGAGGGAGAGGGAACCCACCCTGTATTTTGGTAAATAAAGACAAAATAGTATATTACGTTACTAGTCCTGAAAATAAGTGTTTACCATACGAGTCTGGTACACACATTTTGGACGAATTACATACGATAGTTTAGGCCTTACTACTAAATCTGTACAAATCCTTATATATTTCCACCAACACCAACTAAAGGACTAAAAATCACTAGTCATAAGAGGTTATGTTATTGTTTATAACCACTCATTGCCACTTAAATACAGTATAATCAGCTGATTGGTGTCCAGTAAAACTCATTACAGAACAGTAGTATGCAATGAAACCCCATATGAATAAGCTGGCGGCAAATAGCTGTTTTCTGGACTAAATACTTGTGTGGGAAGTTGGTCAAAATAATGTAGTGTGGCGTGAAGGTAGTTTTGTAAAAGGCAATAAAACTCCATAATGCTGTAAATTATTTTACTTATTCACAATCAGTCAGATACCAATAATCAATCAAATGTAAAAAAGATTCTCAAGCAATATTCAGTAAACTCAATAATGTTAATGGAAAAAAATTGTCCTTATTTTTGAAGAAATTAAATCTTAAAACACCATCTTGTGTCCACTACAATGAAAAAAATTTAACAGAATCCACAAAAATTAACTTGGAATGTAACATAGACAAATTTTTAAACACATCTTCAGCTATAAGGAAAATTGCTAACTCAAAGTTAAACCTTTATTGACTTAATCAACTAAAATAATCTTCAATTATATTACATACAAAGCTTTCAAACATATACAAATAGAGTTTAATCACATAAAAGTTCTTTTTTTTTGTTTTGTAAGATCTACAATATTCCTCACCAAATTGTAACATGTTAAGTTACTAAAGTACCGTACCTTGTAACATTATGTCAGGACTGAAACCGAAGACAAATTCCTCATTCATCCAAAATATACATGTATTATACATAACACCCATAATTCACAGCCACTTTTAATTATTTCATCAATGTTTACCTCACTGTCTCATGCATACCCTAACACTTGGCCTATCTTTAGTATTATATACAGGAGAAATTACAATAAATAAAAGATTTCAATCACTGATGATGGTTAAAATGATCTTTTGTAAGATAACCTTTTTGAAGTCACATTAAATATAATGTGTTTTGAGGGGAGATTTGAAAAGCGTTAAAACCATCTACTTGGTAGTGGTAATAAGCAACAGACTAATCTTAACTATTGTAAACTTTTAAGCGCAACAAATTAGATTTATTACACTTTGTTCACATTATTCCAGTAAACCTTGGTATTCTATTTAAGTCTGATGATAACAATACATAATTATAGACAGTTGCACAATAGGTATGACCCATTACAAATTGAATAGCTATTTTGTACTGTTGTCATTCAAGATAAGTAACATAAACATAAAAAAATAAATGTTTGCATTGAGAACAGTGATCCGTTTCGTGCTATTTATAATCAATTTATCTTCATGAATATAAATTGTAAAAAAATGCAACGAAATAATGATAAATGAAATTGTGAAAATGATTGTAAAGTTATAAAGTACATTACATGTCTTGTAAAAATTATAATTGAGGTAATTAATTCATAAAAAACTATATTTTGTACAACTAATTAAAGTCTTATTAAAAATGATCGTACATTAGATGTCTTGTAAATATGATCTTTAAGATAATTCATAAAAACTATAAAACTAATTAAAAATGATCCAGATGACAAAAACATGTAATTATTTAAAATAAATAACAAGAGTGATTTTAAGAAAGAAATGAAAACAACAACTTTGTTATACAAAGTGGACAATTAGTTATGTACAGCTTGCTGCAGTCGCTCCAGCTCTTCTACACTGAGCATGTTCTGAGTGGGGGAGAGAGGAGGCATGTGTGGCAGCTTTCCTTCTCTAGCCTGAGCCAACAGTTCCGGAGAGAACCAACGAGCCAGTTGGTTGTTGACCTGCTCTTGGGTCTCCCCGCAGTTGTAGTTGTAGTTACGTCCACTCCTCATCAGCCCTTGATCTGCAATTCAATTTAAATTTGTTTTCTTTTTCTACAAATATTTGATTGTTTAACAAATATTTTAGTGTTTGAGCACAACTATAAATATAGGTCTAATATGTAAAACACAAATAGTTGCAACATGTTTGTCCAACTCTCTCGCAAAGTATACGCTTTTTCAGAAGAAACAAGGATAGTTTTTTATGCAGAGGCTCATTTTGAATATTTCAATAAAAAAAGATTTTAAACTTTCCTTTAATCTGTTGCCATCCAGATCTACAAATCTTACTTTTTAACTTGTGTGTTTGCTACATGGACTATGCTGAAAGGTCATGTTTACTCTCACTGAACAACTTTAGCTAACCTGGTTTAAGGAGGGAGTTGTTGCGTTGCTGAGGACTGTTGTAGTTGTGGTTCATCAGCAGTTGTTGCACTGACTGGTTCATACCTTGCTGCTGAAGAGGCATCATGTTGGAACTACCCATGTTGCGTACTACACAACAACAGAACTTGGTAAAGGATACCCAACTTAACATTTAAAAAAGTTCTCTACATCAAAAATAAAATATTCTATACGTTATATAATATTTGTAGTTATAATTTTTTTTCAAATAGGCATTTAACGAGATTTTGTGCTTAACCTCTGGACATATCTTAGGTCATTATGAAATTAAATATTAAAGAAACACATTTCATAGTTAACTTCACAAAGTTTGAAAGTTATGTTTTAGAGTATATAGTATATGTTAAAATTGACAATTGTACTGAATTTGACTAAGGGGTTCATGTCAAATGTTTAAAACTAATTATGGACCAAGACGATTTAGAGAGCCACATCCAACTCTAATTCAAGTAGGTGTTGCTTCGTCTTGTTTGTGGAGACAAGCCCCAACATCATAAGGTTCATTAAATGCAACACTTATAGCATGACACAATCACAAAATTAATCACAGATGTGATGTGGGTGGGTGAAACTGGTTTAATTAAGCCCACTCCTTTGCATGGATCCGTATCCGTTTATTAAAATTCCATTGTGGTGGTAAAAATTATTGTGCCAGAGGAACTTGCATTCCAGCTGCATTAAATACTGGCCTATGTAGTAGAAAGTCCAGCTATCCCTTGTGGAAGGGTTATCACTAGTACTAGGCCACCCCAATGCCTAACTGCTATTTTATTTTACTAATGCACGATAATGGTAATTTTGAGGAGGGCTTTTACATGTGCTACCCCTCCTCCTCGAACTATAAAACTGACAAATAAGATCTCCAATATAGCATAGTTGTACAATGTAGTGATTGAATTATCATAGACAGTAAAACTTCAACTTGTTCTATGCATATTTTTTTACTTTTTCCAAGGGACATAGATAGTAACTTACACATACCTCTAGGGTTTGGAGGGTTGTTACGATTCATACCCATCAGCCCCAACATATGTTGCTGAGGGTTGGTGCGCTGTCCCTTGTATTGGGGTGGCATGTTGGAATAATCCATTGGAGGAACTATGGGAGGTGGGACTGAGAAGTTGTTGTTTCCCCCTTTCACTATTGCTCTCCCTGTACACACAGATTAACTAGTTAGTACCGCAGAGAAGTAAGGAACAGTGGATACACTCCAAGGTACACTTAATTGGTGTCTAGGGGAAACATTGCCCTCTAGCCCTCATACACCACAACGTTCACAGTGGAGGAAGACCCTGTGCCCTGTGCGATAGTGATTTCTGAGCAGTGCTTCGGGCTCTTCCTTGCTCTTCACAAGTATATTTCCGACACAACATTCCAGATCTGAAAGCGCACAGTTATCCCTTAAGCGTGTTTCCTCTGTACCTTACTTATCCGTGTTAGTACACAGTTACTATAGCACAGCCAAACTATTTGGTTATAGGACAAGATAAGTCCAAACATATTATATTTAGTTAATACTAGTAAAGTAATTTATTTCTTGATACATGGGTTAGTAGTTTTGTATTGTCAAAAAGGTAAGTCTATAAAACCTTAGGTAACAGATTCTTCCTTCTGTTAGACAAAAGCTTACTAAACTTAGATTGTAAAATATTTTGTACTAACTAGCCTTACAGAGTTTGTTTTTACTAAATAATTCATTTTACAAGTTCATCATGATTTTGAAAGTAGCACAGAGTTTGCTTTATTCCTCCAGTACACATTCTATTAAGGTTTGTTACACATATAGGCTAAGCAACTTATCAAAACGACAAACAATTTTTCAATTTTATCCATGACCATAGTTTGTCATAATCACCTAAGGTAAGTTTTCATCTGAAAGTTAAGCATTGACTTTTATATCATACCCATGGATGGCATGTGTCACGCCGGGCCCAAATGCCCCCTCCCCCTTTCTAGTTGGTGAATTTTTCACTTCCTTGCCCCCCCAACAAACCTAAAAACTCTTGCGCCCCTGGGTCCGGGCCCATTTACTAAAGCTGCCCTGTTTTGGATACTGAAGAAGACATCCTATCTATATAGACCAGCTGTAGTAGCATATTTTTTATTTAAAAAATCATATTTGTATGAGCCAATCACACAGTGTGTTACAGTGTGAAATTATATTTCCTCCCTTAGCTTCTATTACTGAAGTAGTTTACGTGGCATTAGGTGGTTTACCCAATGGTTTACGTTTACAATAAGTTGTCCGTAAAGCTTCGCTTGTTAAGATAGTGGCGTATTTAACAGGAATCAGTAATTTTCGTGAGCACACTCCATTAAAGGCTCAATCCAAACTACGTCAGTTAGTGGCGACAACTCTAACATAGTGATGGGATCAAGTTCTATCAATATTCAAAGGTATAAGTACCTTGTTTGGGAGGCTGCATAGAAGTGTCTGGTTGTTGGCCCTGCTGCTGTTTGGAGTTGAGCTCAGCTTCTTTGTCAGCTGTCATTTTGCGCAACACAGAAGTGGGAGTGAATGCCAGAGGAGTGGGAGAGGTAGTACTTGGTTGCTGGTTGGCTGGAGACAGAGATCCAGCAGCTGGTATGTTAGGTGAATGTGATCTGTAAAGTTACACATTGATCAATGATTGAATTGGATTAAACTCTGTGGTAAACTTGGGCAATCAGTGTTTCTCTAAAATACTAAAAGATAATACAAGTCACAAACTAATGGCATTTTATTATTTTCCTTTCTACCATTTGCATCTATAGGGTTCTATTATGGGCAACTCAACCGGCTCAAACCGTTTTTTTTTTTTTTTTTATGGCAAAGGAAGGCATTGTAAAAGAAGGCAGAGATGCAAGAACAAGAAGGTAGGGACTATTGAAGAACATTTTAAATCATTTGGATTATTAACAGTTACTGTACATTTTAAAATTGTTGGATGCGTTTGAAAGAAAATATAAATAAATACAATCAAAGATCAATTATACTCGTACATCAGGATAACACCAGAAATTGTCACTTTATTGGTTAATCTTGAACACGATTCACACTTACCAACCAAAGCTATAAATAGATATTTTTAACAGATTGCCACCAACAACAGCCATCACAATAACATAAACGTCCGAATGTGGATCATGATTAAAAAAGCATTTGTCTGTAGACAGTGTATAACCACACTGTATGATTTGAAATTATTTTAATAAAAAGCACTGTAAATCAAATGATGTCATTAATTAAATTTTAATATTTTTATTTTTTTAAGTACTATCAACAATGTTGATTATATTTAGGGATGAGTCGGTTGTTAAAGTCGGTTGTCGGTTTTACCAGTTTTTAGAAAAAAAAACGAACCCAAGAATTGACATTAAAAGTCGGTCGGTTTATCAGTTATTGTGCAATTTTGCCATGCGATTCGTGGTTAGTTCGTTAGGAGGACATAAAAGGTTCGTTTATCAGATGTTTGTTTAGACCTTCATAATTTATTACTATGATAATGATGAAGTAAAAGAACCCGTTACCAGTCACAAACCCACTAATATTTTATCATGACAATAATGATTTTGTTGTCCTCAAGGTCAAGACAAGTACTTCCAAGAACTCGTTGAGTTAATAGTGAAGTCAATAGTTTTATAACTTTGATTTTGTTACTCATTTTTATTCCTTTACGACTTCCATTATTTATTACTAGGGTACTTGTAAAATCCAAAACATTTTATCATAGAAATTGTTATATGGTGGTTATTGATTTTATTTTTTTTGAGTCATTAGAAAAAGACTCAAAACAGTATTTTTGTCGTTAACATTCAATTTACAGCTGGCCATTGCCATACAATTGTTTATCATTTCATATCAAACTGTAACTAATCTCCAGTTATATTAAAACCGAGCCGTTAAAAATCAGCAACCGACCCATCACTAATTCAATCTTGTTGAGTAGACATTGATGCTATCACATATTGAAGCTGCGATAAATCTCTTTGTTTCTTAGAAAACTTTAAATACATAAAAATATTCGTTTACTGTCTGAAAAGAACTGTCTGAAGAAGAATCCGCTATAAATATCAATATCAAATCATTTACTATGGATATGAATCCCACCTCTGCATTTCCTGTCTTTTTCTGAAGTTTTCTTTCTGCTCCTCCAGTTTCTTCTTGAGAAGAGCATTCTGGAGGATGTTCTGGGTGTGAGCGACCAACTCTCGGGGGGAAGGTACTCTCTGCAGCACTGTAAAAAGTGTGGAAATATTCCATTTAAATGCTGTGTTTATGAGATTTGTGATATAAATTTAATATCTTTTTTCAATTCATATTTGAAATTAGCTTTTCCAGCTTATTTGATTATTTCAAATAGGTCAGATGAAGTTAATCAATATTAAATAAGCTAGCCTATTACCTTAGTTGCCCCCCAATTAAAGGACAACAAAGTATTCTGAGTATTGTTATTTTTTTGTGTTTCATCAGTTATGATTTCCTTAGGCCAACCACAAAATTAGCAGTGTCCATCAGTAGGAGGTTAGATCAGCAACTATCCTCTTGTTCATAATTTTATTTAGTACATTTATTACCTTAACCTTTTTTTAAGGTAATAATTCATTACAGAAACACATATTGTATTTAATTTTGAAAGAAAATCGTGCCGTACTGCATCGAATCGAATCGAAATTCTTTGAATCGCATCGATGCATCGAATAAAAAAACAGCTGCATCGCATACTCCTATGAATATGTACCATAATTGTAAATAGAGCAATAAAGTATAGAAATGTTTTATGTCAAATCTAATTTTGACATAACAGGTATCTAATTTTGACCAGGAACAGAAGTGATTTCCAATTTCCTATTCATAGATTAAGTTCCTTTGAAAAGTTGCCTCAGTATTTTGGGAAAAAATTATATTTAAGCTACCAAACAGGATAAAGAATATTGAAAATGATCATAAGTTTAAGAAAGAAGTTCAGCCCCTGCTGCTAAACAAAGTATATTATTTATTGTATAAATGATTTCTTATGTGACACTTTGTAATATGATGTATATAAAATTAAGGCATTCGATTAAGTTTTGGCCAAATAAATTGTATCATGTATATTTTGCTTTTAGTTTTTAAGATGTTGACATGTCACCTGTTTTACCAGCTGTGCTGGGGAGTGACGAATAAAGAATCTGAATCTGAACTCTTAGCACTGCATATAAGCTAAGCATTGAGCATAGTATACTTAATATACCACAATGTTTGATCGGTGTAATGCAAATAAAACACTGTTTGTGAGAGAATGGTGCACACCATAGATGAAATTTTATGACACATTTTGTACATAAAGTATAGATTATTGCACATTATTAAAAGTGTTTGGATTACTGACTTAGGAAAAATAACAAAACAGAATAAAATTACAATAACGTAAAAGAAGAAATCATAGAAGTTTCAAACTTTTTATTTGGCTGCACGATCACTGATGCCACTGACACAAAGTGAGGTTATGTGTATACATGTATAATGTAGGGCCTATGTGACAGCTCGATCACCATGTCGCTGAGTTTCGTGTTTCACACGAAGCGTTGCAACACATGCGCTTCTGCCAGCCACTCTTGTAATTGTGACGTGGAGGTGAATTTGAATTAACCGTCTAAGGTGGCGATTTCAGTTAACTGATGATTCATATGTCCGGCATTCAGATAATCGGTGACCTACTGTAAATATTATATGTAAGCTGCCTCACACTATTCAAAAGAGAAATCTCATAACACTCCAAAATTATGCACTGCTGACACCACTACGCAGAACACACTACAGTACACCTCAAGGGGGTTACCTGGATGGGGATGCTGGATAGTTAGTGTGTTAGTCGTGTTTTGGGGTAAATTTGGAGAAACAACAGGAGGAGGTCCAAATGCTGAAAATAATAAGAATACAATTAGGATCCCATCATCAATTTCTAAAATATTAAGCTATAAAAGCTATAAACAATCATGCAACAAGTTAGGTGGTTACAAAATTTTCACACTCATCTCATTTAGTACTACAGTAGAACCTTGATAACAAGACTCTCATGGGGATTGTTAACTAAGACTTGTTATCAAGGTTGACTTCTTATCGAGGTTTGTAATAACATGTGATTAGGGGTAAAATAATTTTAAGGGGATTTGAAAATGACACTTAATATCAAGGGCGACTTGTTATTGAGGGTCTTCTTATCAAGGTTCCACTGTATAAGGAACATAATTTTAAATTAAGATTTAAGCAGAAAACACTTACTATTTTAGAGATTAAAATCCAATAACAATTCAAGTGTTCCAAAAGCTATAATAATTTATTCATCAATACAATCAAATGAAAGGGAGCAAGCTGGTCAAGTGGTAGAGCACAGGGCTACAGACCCCGAGGTCCCAGGTTTAAATCCCGCCAATCACCAATAGCGCTCAATTCTGAAATGTGTTTGTCATGTCGGAACAAAGGAATTAGACAGTAACCCAGGTCACTGTCGTTATCTTTGTTATTAATAATTAATTGATTAGTTAATATTGCAGTGATTTACTCACTGTTGCCATGAGGAGAAGGTATTCGCAGCTGGTGTTGCTGATGATGGGACTGCTGATTGTGCAGCATCTGCTGCAGCATTTGCTCTGCAGTCGAGGGAGGAGCTAGACCAGGCGAGGGATCTCTCTGACCTGTAGCGAGACAAGTGAACAATTAAAATGTTTGTATTATTATGGGGAAGTGCAAGGAGAATTTGGTCTAGAGGTAAAAACATAGGACACCAGAGTCTTGCTAATCCGTGCTAACTGGGAACGGACCATGATGTATTATCAAATTTTTCGGATCAGCCATAAATGCAGTGAAGTAAAACCAACAATGTAATTTTTGGCCATACATTGATCCCGCAATGACGACAAAACCGTGATTAGCTTTCGCCACCACAAAATCATTTTGATAGTTTCCTGATCATGATATACTTGTGACTATCTGCTGCGATTACACAGTCCTGGTCATCTCCCAGGACTGTGTTCTTCTTCCTACACGATGACCTTAAAAGAGAACCAACAGAATGCTGTTATTGAATAGGCACGCAGAGATTGGGAACATGAAACTGGGAAATTTGGATTAGTCGCTATTCCAATTTCTTTTATAATCATAGTCTTTTTCCTGATTATAAAAAAGGGTCACCTGCAGTTCCCAGAATGGGTTGCGGAGTAGCGATACTCTAATGTACATGTTTGAGTATGTAAACGTCTGAAGTATGTTGAATACCTCAGATTTGGGATATTAATCGCGATATATCTGAGGTTCAGGTTACACAATTTAATTTTTTACGTACATGAGAGAGAGCATTGGCCATTGATATCTCCGGATATCTTAATGGGTGGATCTATTAAACAGTATTATGACAGAGCATACATGCAAAAAATAAGCTGATGAAAAGAAAACTTGTCTGAGGGGAAGCAAAAGGCTTGTTATATGAGGACTGTGAACATGGTCGACAACTGTGATACATGCGCTAATGTTTTTTGAAAAAATAATCCACCACAGAGTATTTGGCCACTTATATGATGATGGTACTTAGTGAATTTGTTAAAGAGGAGTCTGACAACCTCATGGGAGGGCAAGATATTGTTTGGTTTGTCAAGTTTCAATGACTCAATGGCTTATGAACATTGTGCAAATATCAGAAGAGAAGGTTTCCGAACAGATCTGGAAAGAAAGGTTCAACAACAGAAGGACGGAACACCCACACCCGTGATGGCAAGGTACAATGGATGTTAAAGGACGGTGAGTGGGTGTGGTTCTTTAATACAATAATTTCTAATTATTATTTGTATTAAAATATGGAGAAGCTATAGTAAAAATTGGTTTCACTAAGGCATAAAATAACGCATCATAATGTAGCCAGGTTTCTATTGAAGCCCATTGACTGACAAAAACACAAAACATGAACAAATTGATTAATTCTATGAACAAATATAAGGGAACTTGATTAAAAGAGATCCTTGATTGTAAGGGGGGTTGTGACATTTAACGACTGTAATACAGTATTGCATTGACAATAGACAGTTTCATGATTACAAATATTAACTTTTAAGAAAAGAGAAAAGATCAACCAATGAAGAGAAGAAATGTGTAGAATCAATTATTTATCTACTACAGGGTTGCCACCAAAGTGAGATAAAAAAATTCATGCATAATTCAAGGTTTTCATTGGTAGTTTTGAAAAATTCATGGGGTATATGCTCGCACAATTTCACCATAAAAGAGTGTTGCCTAGTTCAGAATTGTACATTAATTTATCGACAATATGTAGTTTTGTGTACTACTATCAAATAAAACACATTTCATGCGTTTATTTTAGAGTTAAAAATAAGAATTTAATATAATTTATCCAGTCTAAAAAAGTAAAATCACAGATGAAAAAGGATATTAATAAAAATCTTGTGCGTGATAATAGGCTACGATGTAATTATTTAAAAAAATTGAAACATCTGATTTAACAACATCATAGGCCTAATGATAAATTCAAACGTTAGAAGAAATAATAAATTAAAAAATAAGTCGGATTGGTAGTTAGGTCTAGGCCTAACCTAAAAAACATTGCATCCAAACATAAAAGGTTAACTAGGCTAGTTAATCCAGCAATGGCCTAGAACTTTACTGTCTAAACATCAAATTAAGATAATAGGCTACTATAAAAACAAATGTTAAGAACATGATCAAGAAACGGTTAACTTAGTAATGGGCCATATCTAGGCCTACTAAAACGCACATGCACTTTATTACTTTATACTGTAACACAGTAGGCTAGCCTACATTGTAATCCAAAGCTGAATCTAGGCTAAGTTAAGCCTGAACCAACTTTTATTTATTGAGAAGATTAAAGGTTGCCGACTGACTGATAAAAACACTCTAAAAAGGTAAGATTATGTAAATAAATATTTAGTTAAAGCTAAGAACGAAACAAAAGTTATGGAATGTATGTAAGTTTAGACATAGGCTAACTTACATTAAGTAATAAAAAAATAATTAATTGCATTACAGAAAAGGTTAAAATAAACTTAGTTAGGAGGATGTTTCTTCAGATTGGATCAGTTTATGTATTATTATTTGCCTACACAGGTTTAAATCACAGTTAAAACAATTATTTAATTAAATTTACATCTCATTAGTTAGATTCGTATTGACTGAAAACACCTAGTTATATGCTTCAAAAAAACATTTACCACATTTAGGCTACCTTCCTCAGAACGAAATCACCATTTTTCAGCACAACATTGACTTCTTGCAACTTAGGCCTAAATAAATAAACTTAATCTCACGTTGTAACACATTTACTCAACACTGACAGTAGTTTGAAATGACGACATATTTGACCAAAACAAACACAGAAGACGATTAAGTTCCAGCCGGCGCAAGCCATTTTGACCTTTATGGCAAGGCAAGGTACTTCTTATTTTAACGTTGTAAAGTATCGGAAGTATAATATATCTGTAATAAAAAATATTTAATCTGAACACTTGTTCCACTGAGTGTTGGGTAATCAATTATAAGAAGCACAAAACTGAATCACGAGTGCAACAAGTGATCTTACTGTCCAGTCTGTCAACCACTACTTCAAACGTTTGACTCATTTCTAAGTTTCAGATCAGTTTAAAACTTTTAGGTTATGGTTACTCTGTATTTCCTTCCACACGAACACTAGAGTAGAAAGTAGAGAATGAGAGCGAGCACCGAGCATCAATTCCGATTGTCGATGTTTTCGAAACATCGATGTCTTTTCTATCGATGTTCGAAGTTATTTGTTTACATCGATTGTAGATTACCGAACCGATGATTTGGTTTGTTACATCGGTCTTTTAGGCCAACAAAAGTAATGAAATATTGATGTTTTCCGTAACTGAATTGTATTGGTTTTAGGTTAATTGCCTGTGTTGGTTTATTTAGACCAGACATCGATGTGATCGATGTTAACATCGATGTGATCGATGTTTTAGCTCCGAAAGCATCGATTTTATCGGTGGATCGGTACTCGGTAGAGATGGGCGTTATAACATAACAGGATGAATAACAGTGTTGCGGCCACGGCAACGTTATCGCGGCAACACGTTGCGGAGAACTCCCTGTTATTATAATAACGTATCTATCTAAATGTTGCAGGAAAGCCGCGCGACAACGAAAACGAAAACATGCATTGCCATTAGTGCCGTTGCCGCAACGCTACCAGAGCAACGATAACTTCTGAAACGAACTAGAATAACGCATCCTGTCTGGACAACGCGGCAACGCCCGACTCCCGACTACAACTGAAAACTGAACTGCAACTGATCAACCGACAATGATAACTGAACGTCGCAACACCGACCGACCGGCGGACAACGGTTTAAGCGGCAACGAGTTGGCAATCGTTTGAAATAACAGGTTGCCGCAACCAACACGTTATTGGGCAGCTGCGTTATCGTTATAACCGTTGCCGGAAAACAACGATAATTCCCATCTCTAGACTACTCGGCTGACGTCGGTTACGATCGGATTTGACCTTGAATAAACTACGCAATCGTTTCTGTTCGTGGCATGGCAACAAAACTATCTCAAACTCCCACTTTGACGTTTTATCTCGGTGTTCATTTCGAGAATGGTCTTAATACGGAGTATTTGATTCAGCACATTTAGGGGTTTTGGCTGAATTGTTAATAATGATTTTGAGAATTCATGGTCCAATGACGAAATTCACGCATAATTCACGCACTTTTTCATGGTCACCTAAATTCACGCATAATTCACGCTTTTCAAGGTTTTCATGGCTGGTGGCAACCCTGTACTAGCTTAAAATCTACATCACTTTGGAGACCACTATGTACATTACATACCAGACTGCATCCCGTGCAATTTAATAATACTGGCAATCATCTCTCGATGAACTGGCTGCATTGATGTGTTCCTTTTCAGTTGCTCCATCAAGTGCATAATGGTTATTTCTCCTCTTTTTAAACCTGAAAAGAATTGAAATCTTTATGTATTTTTATAACAAAAATCTTTTTGTAGTGTTAAGATACTACTAAGTAACCATACAATTTTACTCTTGATTTAAGCATTGTAAGCACACTCAAATTAATGTGAATAGCAATAAGGCATAATTAATTAAGCAGTATTTTTTTCCATTTGATCAAATCAATTCCCCCCCCCCCCCACTAATACAATGAATTTTGAATGAATTCATTGGGGGTGATCGTGGCAAACGCAGCATGTTCAGGATTTTGCCACGATCCCAGGAGACGGTTATGATGTTTCGTTACCGCAGGAGATAGTAAGTACTAAGTAGTTTGCGGCGATTGTAGATAACAGTGATAAAGTTCCCAGGATGGCGGTAAACAATGATAATGTTACTGTTACCACAGGATATGTAATAGATTTGACTGCAATCCCGGGTGATGACCATGACGTTTCTGTGATTGTAGAAGCCACTGATAGTGTTTCCATGACCACAAGAGATAAACAAGATTTTTTATACGATTGCGGGTAATAGTGATGATGACCACACGACCATAGGAAAGAGTCACAATGTTACTGCGATAACATTGTCATCGCTGGGCAATGGCACGATCGGACTAACCCTCTTAGTGCTGCGATGTGGTTACGCATAAATTCCCGAGCGTCGCTGACAGCGACTCCAGGTGTTTTATATATTACTCAAACACCAAACAGCATACTGTCTTTAAAAACACATTGTTTTCATCCAAAAGCTTCCGGATATCAGATTTATAGAAATTTTGTTGCCTTTGGTTTGTTACCCACCCTAAATGGGAACCGAGCCTCAGGTATTGGGCGGGTTGCAGGTGGTGGACGCTCCATCAGATATGGTGGACAGCTGTGAATAAGGGGTAACACGAATAAGCAGTCCCGGACCGAGGCGGCAGCACCAGAGGGCGAGGGAATCATGTCAACTACTTTCCCAAGGAAAAACATTCAATGTTTAATGCCCACAGGGCAGTGTTTTCCAATATTATTTTTGATACCATTTCACAAGATTAAAATATGTAAGTTAGCACATTGATTGTTCATGTGGAGGTTATCATGAATATTATTGATTTTTCACCAACCCAACTAATTGATTTTCCAACCATAAACATGAACTTTTCTCGAGAAAATAACATTTTTGCAATTGACATATCTGAGTAAAGTACTGAGCACAAGAAGAATTATAGTTTTCATCTTATAACTTAAGTGCTATAATATAAAGCCAGTCACATGGTTTGTATGCGTTAAACAAAATAAATAATCATTTATTCCATGTACCTCAAGTTGGGAAACACTGAGATAGGGTATAGTACTTTACTGTAGTAAACCTACTTCTGATAATAGTTTGAGCCTCCGGTCGCTGAAGCAGTTCCTTGGAGGGTGGAGTGTTGTTCATGTGCATCTGCAGCTCTGGGCTGAGCGGAGGGACAGGCGGGGGGACAGAGAACTGCCCCGCTGGGTGCCGAGATGGAGGAGCCAACAACTTAGCAAACACTTCTTGCTGTCTCTGTTGCTGCAGAACAAACAAAAAAACATTGAATTCAAAACCCTCAGGCTCAATTAAGTTTCAATTTGGTTTTGATATACAGGGTGACAAAAAAGTCTGGAAACGGTTTAATATCTTTTTAACTAAATCCGTTAGAAAATTCAAACCTTTCACACCAACTTACATGTATAAAAACTACTTTTTCCGAGAATTATCATTTTTTTACCTCTACCAGGGGACGGCCCATGAGGAGTATGTACATAATCTTTAATGTAAGCATAGGTTGATATGCATATCATTTTAAAGGTCTGGTCAAGTGGACTTCATTGCCGAAAACCGCGTCAAAAAAGGTTCATCCGTTTCAAGATGGCGGCAGTCCAAAGTTCTTACGGAAAATACCTGCACAGGCCTTGGTATTCGTAAATACTCGTATTAAACATCAGCTTGAGAGCTGAAATTGTATTTACAAGTTAACTAGCTCATAGACTAAGTTTATTCAATCTTCAAAACAAATTTTACCGGGTTTCAGATTTCCCGGCTAATGTTGGCTATGAGTATTTACCAATACTAAGCCTGTGTATGTGTATTCCTCAAGAACTTTGGACTGCCGCCATTTTGTAACGGATGAACCTTTTTTGACGCGGTTTCCGGCAATGAACTCCACTTGACCAGATCTTTAAAATGATGTGCATATCAACCTATGCTTACATTAAAGATTTTGTACCTACTCCTCATGGGCCGTCCCCTGGTGAAGGTAAAAAAATGGTTATGCTTGCAAAAAGTAGTTTTCATACATATAAGATGATGCAAAAAGTTTTAATTTTCTAACGTATTTAGTTAAAAAGATATCAAGCCGTTTCCAGACTTTTTTGTCACCCTGTATATTACTGTATGATTGGTATTTCATTATTTTCCTGAACAATTCTTTTAGCTTATGAATCTGTACCCATTTAATCAAATTTAAGCCCTTAATAAAATAGTGATATTATTTTAATTGGATGCAGACACACATACTAAACTTGCCAGACTACCAAGAAAGTGCCCTTTAGGTAATAATGAATGAAATAAGCTGTGCTGCTGTAAAAGCTCAACATAACCAATGGCATATAAATTTAATATGTATGTCGTATTGAATACACATAATACTATAGCTTGAAATATTACATACATAAATATTACATAAATTAGAGACTGGAAATCTCTCGTGTTGATTCTCTCTGTTATAAAAGTTCAGCTATCACTTGATTTAGTGTATATTCCAAAGGTTTTATCCTTCAAAAAACCGTCTTAGATTTTTTTTCTATCCCAACAACAGAAATAATGGTGTCAGCAACTGAAGGATGGAAAGTTCTCCTTTCTCCTCCCCAGCATCAAGCCAAAGAGTTAGTTACCTGTTGAACATGCAGCAGTTTCATAACCAAATCATGAGGAATCGGCATTTGTTGTTGCTGCTGCTGTTGTTGCTGTTGTTGGTTCATACCATGTTGTTGAGGCTGCTGCTGAGACTGCTGTTGTGACTGCTGGTTTTGGAACGTGCCACTCACATCTGAAGATTGAACTCATATTATTGAAGATTACAGTAGAAATAATTCTCATTGTTCATAAACTATTCGTATTATTTACTGTTAAGGATACCTTACATTGTCATTGCAATTAAAATCATGTTACTTTTCTCATTACTCTTTTGTACAATTGAATGCTTTTATAAAAAAAAAATAAAATAAATACAAAAGTAATGTTAATCTGATATAGGAAAGGCCTTACTGACTTAAAAGTAAAGGTATATTTTTTTCAAGAAACTGCTGCCACTGAGAAAAAAGTATGGTGCAAAAGAAATTAATCAAGTGAAATATATCAAAATCATTACCATCACTATCCTTCAGAAAATTGTCTTAGATTTTTTTTCCTATCCCAACAACAGAAGTAATGGTGCCAGCAATTACTGAGCATTACTACAGCACTCAGGTTAGATCCGAATTTTCGGAAAAGATTCAAAATCGAGATTCGATCGGAAAAATTTGACTTTTCAAATTCAAATTTGCAGTGAAGATTAGGCGATTGGATATACAGTAGACTCCCTCTCATCCAGACACCTTTTAACCGGACATCGGTTTAACTGGACTAAACTCGGCAGAAATGACATCTCTTTAACCGGACAGTTTTTATCAGTACATCAGTTTAACCAAACTATATCGGCAGGATGTGGGTGGCACTGAAACGACTGTTCTCTTGGGAAAGATTTGAGACCAGTGATCTTGTGTCTAAATACAATGCTCTCCTACATTTAAGTCAAATACTGTATACAGTATGCATTAAACCGTCCGTTTTAACAAGTTTTTGGGGACATCAAGTTAAACCGGAAAAACCGTTATCCGTTATTATACAGGGTGAATTTTAAATGAGTTCCCCCCCTACTTTTTTCTACATTTCTTAAGATATCAACTTCGGACCAAGTCAGATCATTGTAGTGTAATAAGTACTTCATTTTGACTGAATAAACATTTTCGGCCGCCATCTTGGATCCGCCATATTGGATACAAAATTTTTTTTTCAAATGTAAAGGTAGGGTTGTGACCCATTGTTTCAAACTGGAATTTTACGCTGATTACAATGCCGCAATTAGTTTTATAAAATCTTGATCCGTTCTAAAGTTATGAGGACTTTTTATAACTTTATTTTTAGCCCATTTTAACATTGTGCATTTACAAACTAAGACCATAATCTCAAAATAGTGCTAGATAAAGATAAGTATACACCACCATTCATTGTCGACCTATTATCACTTGGTTATGACGGATTAATTTTTTTCGGCCGCCATCTTGAATCTGCCGTTTTGAGATGTGATAAATTTATTTAAATATGAAGGTGGTGTTGTGACCCATCATTTTGAACTACTTTTTTATGCTGAACTCAATGCCGCAATCCGTTTTTGATTCTCAGGCTTTCTTGATGAAATATTAAAATTATCTTACTTAAATTTCCAATATTTCAAAAAACAAATATGAAAATGCAAAACGGATTGCGGCATTAAATTCATCATAAAAAATAGTCTGAAATGATGGGTCACAACACCACCTTCATATTTAAATTAATTTATCACATCTCAAAACGGCAGATCCAAGATGGCGGCCGAAAAAAATTAATCCGTCATAACCAAGTGATAATAGGTCGACAATGAATGGTGGTGTATACTTATCTTTATCTAGCACTATTTTGAGATTATGGTCTTAGTTTGTAAATGCACAATGTTAAAATGGGCTAAAAATAAAGTTATAAAAAGTCCTCATAACTTTAGAACGGATCAAGATTTTATAAAACTAATTGCGGCATTGTAATCAGCGTAAAATTCTAGTTTGAAACAATGGGTCACAACCCTACCTTTACATTTGAAAAAAAAAATTTTGTATCCAATATGGCGGATCCAAGATGGCGGCCAAAAATGTTTATTCAGTCAAAATGAAGTACTTACCACACTACAATGATCTGACGTGGTCCGAAGTTGATATCTTAAGAAATGTAGAAAAAAGTAGGGGGGGAACTCATTTAAAATTCACCCTGTATAGAGTCTACTGTATACCACTATTCCGATACTGATTCCCGATTCTTCTGCAAAGATCGAGCATTCAGAAATTACCGCTATTGCCGCAATCGCACAAGACAATTATAATGTTACCATGACTGCAGAAGACGATGATATGTTTGCATGGCCCTGAGTGATGATCAGAAGATTTCTGCGATCACGGAAGACAACGATAATGTCTAAACAGTAAGATTTAAATTAGACTTCCATAAATATCTATTACGACTCTTCTTCCTAGACCGCGCAATTAGAACATCCCCGCTATTCCGATACCGATTCATGAATTTTCTGACAAGATCGCGCGATCGGAAAAGGATCAGATATGTACTGCTATTCTAATACCGATTCCTGACTCTTCAACAAAGATCGTGCAATGGGATGTACATTATACCGCTTTTCGATGCTTTTCCGATACCAATTCCTGTCTGGTCTGTGATGATCGGGCGTTTGGAAATTATTGCCACGATAGTGCAAGACGACGATGTTTTTGAGACCGCGAGAGATGATGATGATAATTACATGGTTATATATTCGGGGGCATTGATAATACACTGATAAATAATCAAAATCAACAAATCATATATAGAATGATGATGCTATTTATTGCACCATATGCTGTGCAACAACGAATAAAGATGTTTTGAATTTAATTGGCATATTGATTGAAACAGCTTACTTGCATGTGAAGCTTTCTGATCTTGCATGTTCTGCATTTGCTTATTCATAATCTGAAAAAAGACATTAATCAGATATTAGGCTAGATATGCAATTTACTGTTATTATAGTTTTTATGAGTCCAAAAGTTACTTCTACATGCCAAGTTCCGTGTACCATTCCATTTCCTGCATAGAGGCGAGGCATGATCAGAACAGTAAAATGACATCAAAATCATTACCATGCTAGGCAAAATAATCATTTCATGCATTATTATGCTAGGGATGGTTTTAGATTTTAACAATTTCTAAATTATGTTTCAATTTAATTATCACCCTGTTACAATTTTTGAGACTACTCCAAAAAAACCCCATTGCAGAACTATGAAAATAATATGGATCGTAATAATAAATAAAATTAATAATCCCTACCAGTTTTCTAAAGGCTTGTAATTCTTCTTCTTTATTCCTTGGTTGATTGTAGTCCACAGGTTTCCCTAGGCCTTGTTCTTTACGCAAACGAGCCTCTAATTCTTCTACACTATGAATCTTTCCGCAAGCTTCTATAAAAAATTGTTTCAATATATAAGTAAACATGAAAATATACTGAAATACCAAAAAACAACAATTTTTAAACATAAATAAAGTAAACTCCTTCTAGTTCGGCCACCTCGAGACTGGACCACAGGCCAGAATACAAAATGGTCGGACTAACAGGGTGTTATATCAAAGGTTAGGTGTTAAATATTCTTTTACAGATTTAAGTACAGATGTGACCACCTGCTCAGTGATAGTCCAGCCTATTCAAATTGAAAAAGTACATACTACAATTTAATGAGTTTTAAAAGACTTCTTTTTCATTTAAAATTTTCTTCAGACAAATTATATCTATTTTGATATTTTAAAGCTATACAAAGTAAAGTAATAAATGCAGACAACATCAAAAACTTATAGCTAATATAATTTAGACATTTCATTTAAATAAAAAGTAAATCTAAGTAAGTTTAAGTAAAAAGTAAAAGTAAAAGGTAAATCGCTTTGAGTTAAATAAGTTTTTTCTTTTAAAAAAGCAACTTGGCTTTAGAGTTATCTTATAAAAAGATAGGGCATTTGCCAGGAATTATTAAGGAAATTGACAGGAAAGCAGGCTTACCTTTAAATAAGTCCATAGAGACACATAACACATCACAAAATTAAAAGTAGAAATTTTCGTACTGGAGATTGGAGAAAATCACCATTTTTCTCCAATCTCCAGTGGTTGAAAAAGTGGTCAGTGACCACGAAAATTTCTACTTTTAATTTTGTGATGTGTTATGTGTCTCTATGGACTTATTTAAAGGTAAGCCTGCTTTCCTGTCAATTTCCTTAATAACAACTTGGCTTTAGAATTATTGTTAAGGAGAAAGGAAGGATACACAACTAACTCACCTGAATAAAGAGTCCCAGGAGGTTAATAGAACACATAAAAGTTACACATTAAACTATTATTTCACCTCTTTCAGGGGCTTCTTCAGAGGTAGAATCATTCTACCTTCTACCTCTGAAGAAGCCCCTGAAAGGGGCGAAATATCAGTTTAATGTGTAACTTTTATGTGTTCTATTAACCTCCTGGGACTCTTTATTCAGATGAGTTAGTTGTGGATCCTTCCTTTCTCCTTAACAATAATTTTAAGTAGGGATGGACGAGATTGGATTTTTAGTTCGAGACGAGATTTTTTATTTCTCATAAAATTTCGAGACGAGATTTCTCTTCTCATACACAACGGGAAATGCACGTTCGAAATTTTTACCTGATTTTGTAACATTGTTAGATGACTGTTTAAATACTAAAATAATGATAATAGGCAATAGGATATATGATATATATGATATATATGGATATATATGGATATATGATATTTACAATCTTTCATTAAATAACATCAGCATAACATTTTTTTATTAATCACGCCTAACTTATTAAAAATGCCTACGATTAGGAAACATGGTGATATCAGTTAGGATAGAGTTCAACTTATCCTAAAATAAAATAAATCATAAAATAAAAGCAATATTAATTTTTATAAAATAGTTACTTGTTTTGACTTTTTTTATAGTAATAAAACATTCCTCACACTGCTTACACTTAACAAAACTTCTCAAATGTTATTAAAGTAATAGTATTAAAATAATGAAAGTAATATTTACATTAAAAGAATTAAAGTAATATTTACATTAAAAGAATTAATTAAATAAGAACGCCTTCGAAAAGGAAACGCAACTACAACACGCTCCTGTATTGCGGGTATTGCATTGACTTTCTGCAGGCGTTTTTAATTTTTTTTTTTTTTTTTTTTTTTTTTTTTTTTTTATTCTCGTCTCGATAAAAATCTCGGCCAAAAAGTAATCTCGTCTCGTGTAACGAGATTGAAAATTTCCCGAAAATTTCCCGAAATTTCGAGACTTGACCATCCCTAATTTTAAGTTAAATTAGTGTATTATAATGTTATATGTAAATCAGTCGGTCTATAAATTTGATATTCCATTCCGTCAATACCAATTTTCCAAATACAGAATTTTAAAATTAGGATTAATGAGTCTGCTGTAGTACGAATAGAGCCAGCACTTTCCTACTTGTATATGCAAGTTGTAGACAAAGCTGTAACAGCATTTGTAGCTTACCCAGGTCTCTAAGAGATGGCTTCTTGGTGATCTTCCGACCTGGAAAACCTTGTACATAGTCCCGCTGCAACATTTCCAACAGGGACGAGCCTTTAGGTTCCTCCTTTACTGAAGATGCTGCGGGAGAAATCGGAGCAAAGTATGTGTCTCCATCAGGGGGAATCATTATGTTTGTGCTGGTTATGTCTGTAAATGAAATAAGTTGTTTACAAACTTACCCATGTAACATCTAGAGACCTAACCTATAAATATATAAAACAAAGACCAGTCAAATGTCACATCACATGTATCAAAATCCATAATTCAGAAAAGGTTTAAGAGGGTATCATACGCAAAAAATAATTTTTTGTAATTTTTTTATTTTTTATTTCAAATTAAAGCCTTTACTTCCTGAACGAAATGACACCTTATTTATGGTTCTAAAAAAATTTCTAACCTTAGAAATAATTTTTGTAATGAAACCTTACTCGGTCGTTTTTCCTTATATTTAAGTAATAAGTAATCTAGTGATCTCGACTTTAAAGTCGGTTTCCCCGGAAACAACTTTTTGCAATACATATGTCCCTTTTTTCAGGAACTATGAGAGATAGAACCATGAAATTTTTACAGAATATATTTTAAGCTATTTCACAGAAGTGGTACCAAATTTCTTAATATACTCCACCTAAGACAAATTTTACTGCCATTTATACACACAAAAAAAGTACAATTTAAGGCATGTTTTTAAAAAAATATTTAGACATTACAATTTTATTGAAAGTAAATAATTTTGGTGCCAGTTTTATATAAAGGCATGAATTATAACCTTAAAAAAATTCAGGTTGATAGCTCTAGTGGTTTATCATTAAATGGGACATTAAGGTCGCTAATTTTACATTGTTACCATAGGGCGTATGATGCCCCCTTAGATTTTAAATTCAACAGCTTTTGAATCAATATACACCAGAGTCCCACTAATCTTAGCCCTGGCTGATCCAAACAACATGTTGGGGGGATAAAGAAACAGAATTTGAATTACTGTAAAAGTTAAAGGTTTAAATTAAAATTGCAACGCTTGGCTTTATATTTACTTCAATGCTCTTTGCTTTGTCAGGCAGTTTGATTAAAACACTCTTCAGTGTGAAAGATAATGGCTATTGTTGATAATGTCATTTCTGTGCCATGTTAAATAATTGTACCTACAGTATCACCTAGTCTTTAAATTAAATTATCATTTTTTAAGTTTTTTATGTAAAAAATAAGTATAGGTTAGGGGTGTGGCGGTGCATTGAAAATGCATAAAAATTCCGATTTGATTCGATGCATCAAATCACAATTCGATTCATTGGTGGTCAAAAAACTATTCGATTTATGGGGGAATCAGTATCCATATACGAAAAACGCCTGCAGAAAGTCGATGCAATACCCCCCATAGAAACGCGTTACGTCAAGTATGAAGAATTGTTACTTGATACTTAACTAGTAAGACTGATGTTTTAGACTGATAAATTTGGTATTTTTGTAGGTTTGAAGCTTTGTATACCTTGTAATTTGTAGGTCTGATTCTATCCTCTCATTATATAAATGTAAACCAATTAAAAGTTTCAGTATAAATCTTACAAATGTTATTATTAGTTTACACCAAAACAATATATTTATTTGCAAAATCAATATTATAAAATAGGTAACATGCTTAAAAAATTGATTCTGCAAGTAAAAATTATGAAATAGGCAAGTAAAGCAGCTCACTGACATTTCCAGCAAAACAGGTTCTTGTAATATATGTTTGAAGTCATTGAAGATAAATATTTTTTAAATAGAATTCATATATATGTCATATGTCTGAAGGCCTAATACCACATCAACAAAAATTTGCATTACACGAATGTGGTAAATTTTAATTATTGTTATTTCACTCCATTTACAAGTATGAATAGAAAAATTCCGTATTGCTTTGAATCGAGTTGCATCGATTTGAATCTAAAATCTTTTTAATCAAATCGTTGCTTCGAATCAAAAATGTTTTGCTGCTTCGCACACCTCTACTTAAGGTTATGGACGATTTTGGTTACCAATAAAAAGTTGTGAATATCCCATAAAGAAGAATGAGAATCTCAAGAAATATCCCACTTAAAGTTTAAGTATTCTAGTTTTACTTTTTTTTAGAATTCTACCTAAATTGATGTACTAACATAAGTTACGAGATCTGAAAGGAATGTATGATTCAATGAAAGCAAAGTTAAGAATGTATGGAAGGGCAAAGCAACAAATCCATTAGAATGTACAGTAGAACTCCTGTTAACCGAATTTGGGTTAACCGAAACCGGGGTTATCCGAAATGGTTCCATAAAATAATATAAGGCTGTAAAATGCTTTAATAACTTCAGTTGTCTGGTTTAAAGTATTTTATATACCATTTTAACATTTTTGTAGCTGAAATAAAACACTGAATTGTATAGACATTCTCTTAAATTCATTTTTCCTACACACTGTGGTGATATATTGGCTATTTTTAGCATATGATGGGTTAACCAAAAAATTGGTTATCCGAAACGACTCTCCCCCGTCTATTTCGGTTAACCGGGGTTCTACTGTACTATATTTTTTTCTGAAAGTAGATGCCTAAGTTAGTTAGGTTTGTGACAAATGTTTGTTAGTTACCATTGATCATGGAGTTAAACATCTTATCGTGAACCGAAGAGTTAGGACTGTCTTCTTGCCTTTGGTTCTTAGGAGAGGGACTTTCTCTGCGAAAGAATTGGCTGAACCTCGACCCACTTCCCTCGTCCACACACCCATTGGACATCTGCAACATTAAGACTATAAAAATAAACTATTTATTTGATAGCTAAAACAAAGTAATATTCCTGTTGTTTTTTTAAGAGGTTGAAACCCTTTTTAGCGAATTTCCCTATAGGGTAGCTATTACCGTAGGTCTCATGGTAAGACCTAGGCCCGGCACTGATTTACTTTTTCATTTTGACGTACCCAGAGGCCAAGAACACTATTTGTTCAAATGTTTATATAATTATAATTATATATATACTTGATATATACCGTACTTGTATACTTGAGTAATTTTTGTCCGTTTTGGATAAAATTTGGTTTGAAGGTGTAAGGTGGGATAAACTTGAATGAGTTAGCGAACCAGCATGATCGGACCAAGGGAACAGGGTTTTATGGGGTTTTCTCATTTTTTTTACCCTTAAAACACAAAATTTATTTATTTTTATCCAGACCTTTTTAAAGCGCTTAAAAAACAAATAATTTAGTATATCAAAGTGTTTTTGAATGGTTATTGGTTACGGAGAAAATTTTAAAAAAATTTTCATTTAAAATCCCCATGTTATTCTTAAGGAAAATATTGTAAAATGTTGTAGTTGGCTTGTTTATGGATATATTTTGATAAAACTTGGCAGATTTATTTACTTTATACTAAGCTATTAATATTTTAATAAAATCCCTTCTTTATTAGTTTCTCTGTAGCAGCAAACCTAGGTACTCGTTAAACATAAATTTTTTATTTAATTGATTAATGAAAATCAATCCAGGCAAATGGAAATTCGCTTAAGTCGGCAGGTTTGCTGCAGCGGGGGTATTTATCCTTGCATTTGCCTTCGCAGGCAAGCAAGCAAAAGGTGATCCAGTAGAGTAGAAGAGAGAACTGAACTGATAAAACTTAGTAACAGACACCAAGACATCGCTGCCATGGATTTGTAGTCGGTCGCACTACCGACTGAACCAAGGACTCTCCATACTATATGTTTAAAAATCATTTGTGTATATTTGATCAATAGCAAACTTGTATATTTATCTTTTTGTCCAATCTTCCAACCTAAATCATAAATGAGATGATAAATTACAATACTAAACGGTTGCATGATATAAACTTTCTGTTCTATTCTTTATACAGAGTTGTGTGTTTAGTTGTGACTAGCATCAAATTGTGCCCCTTACAGGTTATGAGCAGATCTCGGTTACTAAGTCTGAAGTTGGTGGTAAAAAGAAAAAGTAAATTGTTTATTACTCAATCATAGTTGTGATACCAACTGAATTTTAAATGGTAAATGTATTTTGGATTTTTTGACTCGGTTTAGTTTATTTTTATAACTTTTCTTCTCTGGTCTAGGTATGATTTAATTAAAACGCCTAATCTTTTTACTCGAATACTACTTAGTTTTTTTATAACGCGTTTGTGCTTATTTTACTTTTAATATCCAGTAGTTTAAAATAAGATTGTGCCACACTCTTGCCAATAGTTAAATGGACCTACTTACAGAGAGTAAAGGAGGTAAAGAGTCAAAGTTGAGAATGTCTTCGATGTCAAAAACACATTCAGGTTTTCCGCTTGATGTCTTCATATTGGAATTTCCTGGCTCTGAATGCTTGCCTTCAATCGGAGAAGATGACAATCTATTAAACAAAAATGTATTCAGAAGGAGTAATCTTTACATATATTTTAAACTAGAGCAAAGCAATAGTTTTTAAATACTAAGATCAAGCTGAGTTAGGTAAAACATTTCACCAATAACAAGATATGCAAGCTATAAAACCAATTTAATCAAATAATCATTAACAAACCGTAACAGTTAATGATTGTGATTGTTGTAAAATTTCCTAAGATCAGGATTTAAGAAGCAAAAGACTGGAACCTCAGCCAGTTTATCTAGTTGATGAAATTTGTGAATGTATAGATTTACAATTGTGTTCTTCAATATTTTTTCCTGTCCGTTTTCCAAACTTTACACTACTGTCGAAGGCCGTTAGGCTAGAGATATTTTAAATTTTGCTCAATGTTTGATAACTGATACCATGCTTGTTATTCATACGTATGTGTGTGTATGATTTACAATGTTCCTAGCAGGAACTAGATTTATACCTGTTATGTTCATGAAGCTTTGGTGAGGACTTACGACTGGGGTTCTTTTTCCCACTCTGGAAATTCTCACCTTTACTGTTTATAGTTTCAGAAACTTTTCGGTTGTTTTTAACACCTGGAACAAATCACACAATATAACACTCAATGAGTTTCATAAAAAAGTACATATTTTTTATACCTAAGCCAGCCACCAGGTGAAAATCAAAGTTTCGATGAACCCTTAAGTACACTATACTTGCGTAAAATACCAAAACAAAGAAAATAATGTGGTATTCATTTAACTAAAAAGTAATGAGAAGACAATGTAATATAAAAAAGCTAAACTTATATTATAAAACTGTTGGCAAAATTAATGTTATAATTGATGGACGCGTTCTGGGAACATGAACTGGTACACCAGTGCAGATGAACCGATGACTTAATCACCGGTACCGCCCCGGGGGCAAGAGTCTTGGTATCCCAGAACGGTTAGTCACCAGTTTACGGTACACATCGGATCATAATTTACACATCCACCTACTATTTACTTCTATTTAAATCAAACAAACTTAACCTCACAGAATAAATTATTTTAAAATTATTCACTTATTACATAATGTAACAACTTCATAGAATAAGTGATTCACTCATTATGTAATTTAACCTATCAAACTGATGAACATTATTCGATGGACCCAAGCTGATGAACATTATTCGATGGACCCGCCATCTTTTCGTAGCTGAGTACTGTTGTCTAAGAAACTGACAGATCAGAGGCTGCCAGTGTATTATGCACCGTACAATTTCTCTGGTGCAAAAATCTTTCATCGGTGGAGGAAAAAGAGGAAATAGCTGTCTGCTAGGTTAACTCACCCACCGGTCACCCTGAACGACGCATTTTGATTTGATGTCAGTGTTCCCAAAACACGCTCAACATTATAAATGGCACAAGTTAGAGCTTTCTATATGGTATAATTTTTTTAGTAATGGAATTTGTTAAATCAGAAAATCTTTAAAAACTGTCATTTTGATTTTTCATTCTTAGACCATGAAACCAAAAATCTAAAATCTAAACTAGTAATGGTAGGCAGAATACTTCTATAAAATCATCCAACTTGGAGGGTTTAAAAAGTTTGATGATTTGAGATGGAATGGAAAAATTATATTTAAACTAGCAATAACTTAATTAATTTTTCCATTTTTTTTCTCTATGCACACCATTGGCATACCACCACCTATGGTACCTTTGGCATTGGTGTGTCCTTATTGCCTTATTAAAAAAAAAAAAAAAAAAAACTGAAACATAAACCACTATGCATTTGTCTACATCAATTTAAATAGATTAAAGAAGATGTGCCTACCGACTGTATTGTAAAAATGGTTAGGTACAAGGAATACAACTTTCCACTTTTAATTTGTAGCCTACTTACTATTTTTATTATTTTTATTTTGCTTCTTGTTTGGTGATATCTTCTCCTCAATTGGTCCATCAAAACCGTGCAACTCAATGGTATCATGTTGAGATGTCGGTCCACCTGAGAAAAAGTTTATTTCAAATTCAAATGTGTGAATTTTCTTTACGCCACTGTAATTGTATTAATTTATATTTAACGCAATTATCTACAAAAGTAGCTTTCAAGAGTGTGCCAACTGTGTGTTTTGAAATATAAGAAATTCAATTCTAATATACATTTTACAAGTCTTACAATCAAAGCTATGTATTATTTGATTTTGTTTGAAAAAATACTTTTTCCTACAGTTACCTAACAATGTACATGTTCTCTCACTGATTTGAGAAAGCAAAGTGGCCAATTCACTCATCAGTGAGACAATATTAACATTGTCTCACTCTAATTACTTTGTCTCACTCCAGATTTGCAACGTGAAGGCATGAAATAGTATTGTAGTAACATGCAGTCAACGTCGTATGCGCGCGAAATACGTTGGCAGCACTGGCTGTAAATCAGCTGGTCAGCTGTTGTACTGTTGTATTTGTCACTTCACATTAAATGTTATATTAAAAGTTCACTTCTGTGTAAAAACAGGTTATGTTTCTTCACAAATTTATTTGTTTTATGGTAACTGTAGGAAAAGTATAATGTGGAACTCGAGTTCAAAGTACAATTGCCTCACTCGAGAAACCATTCCTCACTCGCCTACGGCTCGTGAGTAATGATTTCTCTCGAGTGAGTCAATTGCTCACTTTTCTCACTAGTTGCACAAATAACTATTAAATTTTTCTTTAAGAACTTGTTACTTTCAAGATTTTGTGAAATTTAATTGAAATCTTTAGAAAATACAATGAAAAAAGATAAATAAATGCAATAAGTAAAGACAGGTTTATCAATTATCCAGATTTCTCTGATATTTACTTCTCATAGACCGATGATATCTTACCTTGAGCGCCAATACACTGCACAGTGTTGCATGACTCAAGTAAATAAACAGAGAACATTTTGATCAATTATGATCTTATTTTTACAAATAACAGGAATAATATGGTTCCAGAAACAACATTGCTTAGAATCGGACCAATGAAATTTAGATTTGGTTAAGAGCACTATAACCACTTGAGTACTCAACACATTTTGAAGTTTATAGAGTTTATCTGCATTACTTACCAGAAAACCACTCGGGTTCTTCAGGCTCGTTCCTCTCGTACTTTCTGCGGTCATTGTTGTATCTGGGTCGCTGTTGCACTCTTTCTTTGTCATGGTTCCTCTCGTATGTTCTCCTCTCAAACCTTTTAGAACAAAATTCAATAATTTCTATCAACACATTTAAGGTTAAGGTTTATATTCTATCATTCTCAGTGATTAAAATTGTTTGGTAAATTGAATCAAGAATCAAGAGCTTTATTGTCATTGACCATTTACAAGGAATAGACATAGTCAATAAGAATAAAAACTAAAGCTATAAAAACAGTGGGTTCTAAATTAAAAATTAATATTAACATCAGAAACTAATTTATTAAAAATCGTATACAATTTAGTTTATATCAGTTATCTGTTTTGGCCAATCTATGAGCAGGAATATCTAGATTGGATTTGCCTCTTATATTGTAAGAGTGTATACTCTCTCTACAAGTGAATTGATGAAGATTAGCTTTAGTGTAGAGGAGTATGTGAAAAATATACAAATTTACTACGGTCATAATTTCAAGGTTTATAAAAAGAAGTCAACAGCTATCCACAGGGCCAGCCCCACAGATTGTTCGTATGACTTATTTTTATTAAAAGAATTTCATGGGTGTGGGGGGAGTGTCCCCATAGTATAATCCCGTAAGAAATATGGGATTGAAAAAAAACAAAATAAGTAATTCGAAGGTATTCATTACTAACAAAATCTCTGAGTTTCCAAACTAGATAATTAACTCTGGAAATCTTTTAACATGTGATTTCTATGTGCTCTGGCCAATTTAATCTTGAATCAATTTGGAATCCTAACAATTTTACTAATTTTAATTCATTGTCAAGTGGGGATAATTTCCCCATTCATTGACTCCCTTTTGCCCCTTAAGTGATATATAACTGTATGACTTACCTGTCATCTCTCTGACGAAAGTTAAAGTCATGATTGTTGATGTTTTGTCCAGTCACCTCCTCCTTATCACCTGATCGGAAGTCCCACACAGGGTCTCGGATGATACGACCACTACCAATCCTCCGTACAGGAAGCTCTCGATGAGTTGGCTCCCTATAAACAGATAAATAAGATTAGGAAATTATTAGACTTAGGCTAGTTAATGGCTGTCATTATATTAATTATTAAATAATTGTACCAATTTCATGAAAGGTTGTGTATTTCTATTTAAACAAAAACTCAATCAAAATATAAAACAATAACACAAAACATATGTTGAACAATTACCATATGTTATTAACATATTAACTACTACTGTCAATGACAACATTTTTAACTGGAATTAAAACTCTAATTTAATAACAATGAATTTTCTAATACTTAAAAAACCAATACAACCATTGGCCATAGTTTAATAAAAGAATTTTAACTTTACTGTAGAAATCTCTTGGATACTTTATTCCAATATATGTTTGCATAAAAAAGAAACAAACACCATTAAAAGCATTTCAGTTCCAGCAAAATCTAACAACTAATTGTAACCAACACTTTAATAATAATGTATTGGGACGTGGCCCAACAGAAGGTGTCAAGCAATATGTAAGGTACCTAATTTTAAGGGGGGTTAAAACGACACTTAAATAAATACTAGGGTATATGACTAGTTACTGGAAAACTAGCCCCTTTCCAGGCTTCTGACATCATGACATAGAAACCAATGTAGTGGGTAGACTTCTAGGAGGTAGTATTGGCGAATGTGATAATATTTTACAGCACTGACCTCTCCCCTTTAAGCGGACTCGGACTCTCAGGCCGACGGTTGGCAGGGCCGCTGTGCTGAGGTGGCAAGTTCACAAAGCAGCCAGAGTTGAAGCTTCTGCGTTGCGGACTAAGCACCACATCCTGTTCCTTGCGCAACCGTTCGGCCTTTGGGTCATTTATCTTTTTCTGTAAGAAAAAAAATTAATGTAGGATAATACTGTTATTGAAAAGGAATAGCCTTGAATGTAAAATTAAATTAAAATTAAATGTTGTAATGTGATTAATATTGGAAAGTTTGGAAAGTGTAGAAGGATACAACTTCGAGTCTTATTTTAACTGTATTTAGTAGAGCTTCCTAACAGTAATATTATATTTTTTCTCACTCTGTGATTCTGATACTCAGTTGCTACCAAAATCAATTAAAATGTCCAAAGCAAAAGTCTAAGATAAGGAAGAAGGTTAAATAAGTGTTCATTTAATTCTTGTAGTTGATCGAGATAAAATATATAAAAAAACCCATATTACTTAGAAGCAGGACATTTTAAGAACTTTACAAAAATATCATATTTTATTCCTTAAAAGTAAAAAACTAGATAAATCTCACAAAAACACTTAATTTGGCACAAAAACAGCAATTAATCCGACATCTATAGCTGTGTGCAAGTCACATGTAGAAAGTTTTATCATTTAATGTCAATGTAAGTGTCTAAAGAAGTGTTTACTAGAGTGTCACGTCTTCACCCACTGCATTTTCCCGTTATGACGTCATCAAAATGGCAGAAAGGGCTATAATACCTATATTTTACATACCATGTATCAGAACAGGATGAACTTTTTTTGTTTGGAAGATAACGTTACAGGCTGTTGTTCTTAAATTTACACATTTGTTGTATGTTTATTATATTATTCACAATTTTGTGAGGTTCCAAAATTTAAGGGGGATAAAAACGTACTGCTATTAAAGCAGCACCAGAACTTACCAGTTTTCATCCACAATAGCCTAATCCTAGGCCTATGTGGTGGCCATAGCTTGGGCTATGGGCCAAAGAACGTAGGCCTAGTGTTTTAATCAGATTGAAGTATAAACACACACTCCCACGACATATTTATTAATAATAGCACTCTAACTCATCAAATAAAATTCAAACCGTTCGTTTTTTCCAATATTTTACGCCAACGACGAAATGACATAACCTCAAGACTGGTGTTTGCTGACAGACGACAGACAAAAACTAGACTGGCTCAACAAGTAAAATTTCAATCAGCTGTTGTCTAGTAGTACTTAAGTTCGTCGCTAGAGCGCCTAAGCCTTGACCGGGCTGGAATTAGACTTCAAGACAGGATATTCGTTCACACGCTTTTGACCAGGTAACATCGCCGTTACGCTGTCTACGCTTAACGTATACTCTGATCGCCAATATCCCAAAGGTTAGCTGATAGTTGATCACGCTGTCTTATAAGGCAAACCATATAAGTTAACGTAATCGAGGGAGATAACCACGACTTTGCCGTGATCACGGGATACGACCAAGACACCATATATGCAGGATACAGTAGACTCCCTTTTATCCGGACTCCTCGGGACCGAGGCCTGTCCGGATAACGGTCTCCCGGTTAAACCGATGTCCCCAAAAACTCGTTAAAACGGACTGTTTAAATGCATACTGTATAAGCCAATATTGATTATTACGTATTTAGACATGTGATACCTGGTCTCAAATCTTTCCGACGAGAACAGTCATTTCAGTACCGCCCACTTCCTGCTAATCTAGTCCGGTTAAAGTGATGCGCTGATAAAAATTGTCCGGTTAAAGAGATGTCATTTCTGCGAAGTGTAGTCCGGTTAAACCGATGTCCGGTTAAAAGGTGTCCGGATAAGAAGGAGTGTACTGTATGACCAGACGATGTTTTACCGTGAAGTCTGTGCACTGATTTTTCGTGTGCTATATAGAGAAGAGAAATTTAATTATTTTCTGTTGAACTTAGGAAAATGACACACTGTTATCCATTAGCTACAACAATTCTGCATCTGTGCAAATTCACATGTTCGTGATATAGTCCTTTGGTTGGAGTCAAGTGTGTAGCCTACAAAAAACCATGTTAGGTGTGCGATTTTACTGACATATACTGACTAATGTTATAAATGAAAGGGAGGAGTGTGGATGTCATGCTTTTTGGGGGGGGGCATTAAGCTTGGTTTGGGGGTGCATGCGCCATTGCCCTTGGGGGGGGCGGGGCACCCCTGTCTGAGTGCAGGGCTAAGTGCCGTTGGTCTTAACACTTTGACAAGGGTAATTTTTACAGCCTGAGGCTTGGCGGGACGAGTGCCAGCCAGGTATCAGTGACCGGTTCCACGGTGCGGCAGGTATGGGGGTGGAAAGATCAACCAGGGGGATGAGCAAAATTTGTTTTAGGGATAAAATGAAACTGTTATAGCCTAACCTGACCTAACCAAACTTGCTGATTTAGAAAAAAATTGTATGAAGGTTTACTAATCCAATTGATATAAATTTTCAATCGTAATTAGGGTAGCCCAGTTAAGAAACTGTACCCAGTCTCCGTTACATCCTGCCCACTACACTCCCTTCCACTAATACCCCTCCACTGAATCACTCTTACACTTGGGGGAGTCATATGGCACTCAGGCCTATCTGACGGTTTTGACAGTTTATAATCCCCACGGCAAAGAATAGAACGGCACTAGCTCTGTTTCCCCCCCCCCTGTCTGGATAACTTAGGAAGACTGGAAGAATACAGGAAACAGGAAAACCAGGAGACGTCCTGAAATTCAGTAATCATACATTAATTTTTTTGTATTGTCACACATCACTTCAACATCACTTCAATTCTTCAACATATAGTCCATGTTAGAGCCCCTGGATTGCTGCAATGACTAATATAGCCTAAAGGTACCTACCTAATTTACCCCATCAAGTAATTCACATTGGTTGTGTTGATTTACCTCCATGTTTCAACTTTATTAAGGCAGTGTCAGAGTAACGTAAATATTAACCTTGACCTTTGATAACGTGGACAACAATGACAAAAGAGTCTAATACCTGTACTGGGACCATCCGTGTCGTGTAATAGACCTGTATTAAATGTTTTCATGTATGTCCATTTTATTGTTGGTATGCGCTAAACATGTCAACATTTTTGTTGCCCTGATATTAATGGTGAATCAATTATGTAAGGTGAAAACCTGAAACTAATTTGGATATGACGAGATAAATTAGGTAGGCCTAACATTTTATTAGTCTATATAAAGCCAAGCTTTATTATTGTCAATGTCTTTATCAACTCCATAAAAGCTTAATAGCTATTTCCAAGTGCTCTAATCTTCTCAATTTTTTTTTATTTTTAAGAATGAAAGAATCCCTCCAAATAAAAATTGTTTAAACTGAGAAATATTATTTTTCAGATTGATTGGCAAATAAATGTACAAATATTAAACATAAAATATTTGTTTGAAACCTTAGCTTTTTAATAAAATAATGTAATTAAAGTAAGCAGACATTAAATCTGGTACGGTAGCTAATCATTCCTAAACATCTTGTATTAATGTTAAAAATCATTACTCTTTAAAAGTTATGACAATACTGTAATGACCTAGGTCCAACACATGATTGTTACTCAGAATAAAGGATTAACATCAAGTAAGAAAATGCAACAGTCTATGTCAAAACTTCCACTATCATAGTTGAAACTTCCTTAAAGATATAATGAAAGCCCAAAAAAAACACATAATAACCATAAAAATCTTTTTCGCTTAATTAAGATTTCAACTTTTTAGCAGCATACTGAGGCAACTAGATCAACCAAAAATATAAAATGTGTTTTGTCACATTTTATATTGTGTGCCCACTATCATCCAACTAAAGCCCCATTTACACGACCCGATTTAGGGGCCCTAAATCGGGCCCGATCTATGTCGGCCCTGAAATCAGGTCAAGTAAACGCGTGCTCCTGGTCACGATTTGGCTGGAGATCGGGTAGGGCGGTCGAGAAGGATTTCCACCCGATTTAGGTAGGAAGGCTGGGGATAGCGCACTTCCGGTGGGAACAGATGTCAATTCCAAAGCTCTACAAGTGTCTGAGTTGTCTTTTAAGTTTTTTCCGTGGTTTTGAGATAATGCAATCTACTTCACAGAGGAAAAAATATGTTTTGATGGAAATGATCGAAGTGTACAAATCTTACAGACTGTTGTGGGAAACTTCTCAAGGTTTATATTTTAATAAAGATGCAAGAAACCAAGTGTTTGCTTACTTGACGTTTACAAGAAACTGAAGACAGATGCAACATTGAAAGATGGGAAGAAGAAAATTGAGAACATGAGAAGTCAGACCAGATCGGGCACAGAGAACACTCAGATCGGGTAGTGTAAACAAATTACGCTCTGACGTCCAGGTGACAGGGAAAGGACGGTCGGGGTCGGGTCATGTGAACGGGGCTTTAATGAATAGTTTTGGAGATGACTTATTGTGTAAAGCTACTATATTTCAACAATTGATTCTATTACTGTGCTTATCTACGTTGCATATGTATACATTTATATTCATTAGGCCTTCATCATTAATCCTCTGGTAGAGGGAATAGATTGTGAACATAAGTACATGGTGGACAGATAGCAGATAACATAGTTAATTGCTCGCCCCATGTAGTCATTTAAGTAATCAGCAGTGCTGTAATAAGGTCTTTTCACTTTTCATCATTAATTTTTTCCAAGAAATTTCAAACTTGGGGTCATCAATATAACAATTAAGTTGGAAAACTGATAATTGAATATAGGGACACAGAAATCTTGCCTACTTTTGTCAAAGGTGTCTATTACCTTCTGAGGGTCGGAGGACTGTTCAGGTCTATCCTCATCAGTAAGGGAGTCTGTGTGTTTGCGGTGATCCCAACGATCTTCAAGCCACCGCACACTCGCCCTTCCTGAGACCAGGGACCTGAACCACAACAATACAAACAGGTAAAGCAATGCACAAGTTTAAGTGGAAAGCCAGAATACTGACTAAAAGCGGACCTTCCAACTCTCCTGCATTAGGCAGGAGTATCACGCATTCAGATGTCCACTCCCGCTTCCCCGCTGTCAGTAGAAAAACTCCCGCATATCTGAAACTATAAAAACTGTACATCCCCCGATGTCATTAGAAAAACTCCCGCATAGCTGAAACTATAAAAATTTTACATACACAATAGGAAAATTTTTGGAAAATTAAGATTCTTTCATCGCGTTAATGTTAGGTTGGTAGCTCTGCAGACCTTGAGTCTGCACTGGCAGGACTCGTTGTCTCACTAGCCTGTCGTTCTTTCACGTAAACATAGCCTTAAAAGTTGAATTCAGGCGCAAGAAAGCCAAGTGTGTAGTCCGTTAGTTGATTATTTAAGTTTTGTTTTATCGGTAAAGAAGTAGAGTAGTTGTGATGGAGGAAGAAAAGGAAATGTAAGTTGTTTTGTACATTTATTTTTAGCCTATACAGTGCTCAAACATGTCATCAGTGTGTATCAGTGTTCAGTTTGAGTTTTAATAACTAAAATTATTTTTTCTATTTTAAACTCCTTTTGATGTAGGCTATTTCATTCATATTTTACACGTACATTATGTTTTTTCACGTACATTATATAACTCTGGTGTTTTTTTTTATTGTTCAGTAGCCTAATAAAAAAAATGCAAATTTCATAAAAAAAAATTTAGTTCTATTTCACTTTCCTAGTGTGCTTACAAATTTGCTATTTTCAATAACTTTTGTACGTTTTTGGATGATATGAAATGGAAAAAAAATTATATTTAAAACTCTATTTATACGTTAGTAAAAATAGTTAAAAACCCGTTTTTCAGGCTTAAATTATCAAAATTTCCCGGGGGGACAAACCCCACGGCTGGGGGGACGAACCCCCAAGACCCCCCAGGGGATCACTCCCGCCTGAAATTCCTCCCAGGTTGACAGGTCTGCTGAATGTAACTTCTGAGGTGTGTGGAAAAAGCGTGATGAATCAAATTGAGTCACAAACTCAATTCTTTGAATAGACATGATTCAATGAAACTGGTATAGCAAAGTGAACAATACTAGAGGTTCCCGAATTACAGTCAATCACAGACCTAACCACTTGAAACTGAAACTCAACATCATCATCACAATAACACATAACATTATGGTATGGACCAAAAAGTCTAATGTAACTACACAGCTCCTAAATCAATACTGAGCTTTTTGGCCAATTAGAGGGGACGTTGGGAAAGTAAAAGCAATAAGAAGTGATGTTTTAAAATTCAAATAAAGAAGTTAAAATGCTGGGGTTAAAACATGCTGGATCATTCATTATTGAGTACAATGATCAACTATTGTCCAGCAAACGACGAGAGTACTTCAATCTTTTATTTGGGATGTCATAAAACTTTAAACTGATAATTATTTTCTTTTTAGAACAAACTATAAATTAGAGATAAGAGGAAAGAGTGAAAAATGGTATCAAATTTTAACAAAAAAATCATTAGAGAATTTAAATAACATTTATTTAACAAGCATCTGCACTAGAATAAGAGACTTACTTGTTTTGTGGAGATTCAAGACAAGGGTGTTTAACACTTGAAAGAGGATGTGTCATCAGCTCAATCAGCTCTTTCTGAAACAACATTGCAATGACAGTAAGTAACAATAGCAACAACGCCATCTGTGACTTTAAACAACAATATGTATTCACAAAAAAATTTATTAAATGTTTTCTAGATTTTGAGGAATGAGAATTTCTACGAGAAGCTATCATCCACCAACTCTGGAATTCCCCCCCCCCCCTCATAGAATTGTACTACAATGCAACAAGCAGTATACCAATACCCACCATCAAAATTCCATTGCAAATCTTTCTTCCATATACTGTAGTTACAAACCAAACTAATTTGTCTAGAAAGAGAGGTTCTGGAAACCAGTTCCACTGTGGCCACTCTTAAAATTAGTACTGTGTATTGTGCTTAACACAAAAGACAAACCATAAAAAAATACTTTGTTAGCTCACTCCTACAATCGAACATATTAGGCCGGGGCCACACGAGGCAGATCATCCGTGCGGTCGGTCTGCGCGAATGATACACGTGTTCCGACAACACATTGAATCAAATGGAAGTGGCCATCACACGAGGTGAAGTTAAGTTAAGTTGTCTGGGCGGATTGTCCGAGCAATGTCGTGGCTGGACCGCATGAAGTTCAGCTGCGTTGGAGAGGATGACACACATCCACAGTCTTAGAGAACACAAGATACGGATTGACAGCACGGTTGGAGCTCCTCTTCGGGCATTTGTAGTTGTTTTTTTGAGTTTGTGTTTTGTGCGATTCGGTTTATATTTGTGTAACGTTTGATACGGACAAGTTAATAGAACTGTTTAAAAACAAACCATGTTTGTCAAAAAGCTCAATGAAGACTCGGACAGGAGCTGCCAGGAAAATGTGCGGCTTGAAATTTCGGAATTATTTTATGATTGTGAATGATCTTTGGGAATCGCATGTGCTCGTAAAGGTTTGAAACACAAATGGTTTATCCGTTATGAAGGGACACACGCTTCTAATGCACAAACTAACATACCAAGTGTTTCGTACATGTCTACAACGAGTGAATTAAACCATGTTTTAATACAGTACTTAGGCTGAGAAAACCCAACAGGTAGCGGTTCATCCGCTCTGTGTGGCCAGACACTGGAAGTGTGGATGATCCGCCTCGTGCGGCCCCAGCCTTTAACGAATCTTAAGCCTTTAATTTTAGTCTTGTATGTTTTTGACTCATTTCAACCTGTCTAATGACTTTTTGTTTTTTATTTTAACCAACAATTTTTTGCATTATTACACACAGGGCTTAGAAATTACCGCAGGGACCCAAGTTTGACGGTTTTTCTTATTTCTTAACTCTATTTATCATTTTATCAAAATGGAATCTAAAAAAAGTAATTACCGTACTAGCTTATAACATTTACAGATTTGTTCAATAGTTAACTCCCAAGATTGGAGGTTGTTTTATGCTAAATAATCAAAAATTTTTAGCAATCATTTTAGCATCTTGTTTTCTGTGACTCAGGTATTAGTTTCACTTAAACTATGTGATGTGCAATTTAGGGCTTCACTTCAATTACTCGTTCATACTACAATTTTTATTTATTCTTTGTTAGACTTACCCGTGAGTATTGGCGCTCCGGCTTGGTTCTTGGAACCTTGTCCGGTGCCTCCGGAGATTCTGTTGGTGCTTCATCTCTATCTCTTTCTCTCTCATTCATTATCTCCTTGGCCGTCATTTCCAAATCCGCTGTCGCTGTAATATACCATTGTCATAAGTAAAACGCCCCTCACCTTGCTTGGCCAAAAGCAGAACATTTAGGAGCCAACTGGAGTCAATATAGGTCTACTTGAAGTAAGCCAGTGGGACGCTTATTTTGATTATTTCTTCCGTTCAATTTTATCAACACTTTTTTACTGCAAAGTTCCTAACTAGTTGGAGGAATAAAGAGCTGTTTTCAGGGTTTTGCTTAAATGCAGGACGACACATGTGTCATATAAACACATAATTTTTCATCAATTTATTTAGACGACCGAGTGGCAGTCGAAAGGAAACTCCAAAATTCCCTATAAAACTATTGTATTTTGGATAAAACTTTCAATAGTTTCAAATGTATCGGGGAGTCATTGAGAAACCAATGATCTGTTTTTAAACTATGTACATATCAATATAACAATCTTAATCCTATGAAACAAACAAGTAAAATCAAAAATTATAAAAAAACAATAACCATAGGCCTACGAAATATAATTTTTCTTAATAAAAATCAGACCAAATTATTTTTTTAACGAAACTCTAAAAATAATTGTTAGTAATTAATTATAAATGTAGGCCTACAGTATTTACAATGATAAGGTAGGTAATTAAAATGTCTAGCAAAATAAAATAAAGGAAACAATTAGCACAGTATAACAAAGAAATCAAATGATTAGGAACATGGGGAGTGTATTTTGACCATCTTGCACGTATTACCGTTCATAAAATCAACACAACAAATTAAATTTTGTCTGGTTAATGTTTTAATTATACAAGTTATCAATAATCCAATAATAATGTAAAAGGATGACATTCTATTAGGCCCTAGTGAATTTCCTTCAGGGAAATATCTACTGCATTTATTGTAATTTTCCTTGAAATTTATTTATTTATTAAAATACATCACAATGGTGTAGTATTTACAAAAATACCAATACATTCAAAACAATTTTTTCAAGTCAAATTTCCGTCTAACACCATATTTTAATATAGCAAAATGTTTTTAAGGTTACTAGTTTTGACAGTAACAATCACTACTTTATGTAGTAGTGAATTTTTCCGTACATACCCCTTGTAAAATTTATTAAATTAAATTATAAAAATATAGATTTTTTTTAAGGCTCCCAAATATTTATCTGGATGGATTACGAATCGCGACATCGTTCTGATTGGCTGCGATCGTGGTGATATCGTCAGGGTCTTGGCAACTTTCCCGATACCCGAAAATTTCAATCAGGATCTTTCAAGATTGTTGAAATGTCAACCCTCGCTAGTACAAGTAAGTAATGTCCGCTATAAATGTTTGAAAGACACACAGCTTTAGGCTGTGCTCTAGGGTGCGGGTGCGCAGTTATTTTAAAGATGGCGTCGGCTATGCGAGGGTCGGTTTGGACGTCCATGTCACTGGCCCGGCCATGACGGAATTAGTACATAAGAATTATGCTAATATTTAGTACCTATTTCGTACTATTTAGTACCAACAAACAAAAAATTAGTACCCCACTCGGTACCGGATAACTAATTAATTTAGGATTCCGGGCCAGTGACATGCTGGCCCGGCCATTTTCGAATTTGATCCTAATATGTATACCATCATTTAGTACCTATTTCGTACTATTTTGTACCTCCATTAATATAATTTGTACCTCAAAGAAAACCAAGCTACGGGCCCGTTAACTGTACAGGTCAATGACCCCTCAGCCCGGCCATATCGGAACCTATGGTTATAAGCTATACTACTATTTAGTACTTATTTCGTACTATTTTGTACCTCCATTAATATAATTTGTACCTCAAAGAAAACCAAGCTACGGGCCCGTTAACTGTACAGGTCAATGACCCCTCAGCCCGGCCATATCGGAACCTATGGTTATAAGCTATACTACTATTTAGTACTTATTTCGTACTATTTTGTACCTCCATTAATATAATTTGTACTTCAAAGATAACCAAGCTACGGGCCCGTCAACTGTACAGGTCAATGACCCCTCAGCCCGGCCATATCGGAACTTGTAGTTATAAGCTATGCTACTATTTAGTACCTTGTTCGTACTTTTTTGTACCTTTCGAGGTAAAAAAAAATACCTCAAAGATAAACAAACTACTTATGTTACATATTGTATGTGTAATCATGTTATTGTTAGTGGTTAATTACCCCTCAGCCCGGCCATGTCACAGTTTCTAGTTATAAGGTATGCTATTATTTAGTACTCAATAACAAGTGATGCAGTTATTTGGTGGTTATCTCCAACTATTTAGTTCTTCATATTAAACAATATATGTACTACTCATACAACCCAAGTAATCAATGTGTCGAGGTTTAGGCTATTTTGGTGCGAGGGTACTGTGGTGATTTTTTTATTTCATTCAACATTAAGTTCACAACTTTGTTAATTTTTTCTTTCTTTTTTCTTAATTAATTTATGTTGTAAAACTTAACGAGCTGTTGGCCCGTCCTACGTACGGGAATTTAGAAGTCAACTAAAACTGAAGTAATATCAATATTTCTAGAATGTAGAATGTTATAGCGTCGGCTGCTAGACTTTTTACAATTTTAAACTTATCTTCTAAAAAACTGAAACCCTAAACTAAAATTATGGCTTCAACATTCCCTAGTTTTTAAAATTATTTGTCTTTCAGTTTTTTTAGTAGTTTTTTTAGAAGTACAAATTATATTAATGGAGGTACAAAATAGTACGAAATAAGTACTAAATAGTAGTATAGCTTATAACCATAGGTTGCGATATGGCCGGGCTGAGGGGCCATGGATCTGTACAGTTAACGGGCCCGTAGCTTGGTTTTCTTTGAGGTACAAATTATTTTAATGGGGGTACAAAATAGTACGAAATAGGTACTAAATAGTAGTATAGCTTATAACCATAGGTTACGATATGGCCGGGCTGAGGGGTCGTTGAACTGTACAGTTCACGGGCCCGTAGCTTGGTTTTCTTTGAGGTACAAATTATTTTAATGGGGGTACAAAATAGTACGAAATAGGTACTAATTAGTAGTATAGCTTATAACCATAGGTTACGATATGGCCGGGCTGAGGGGTCGTTGAACTGTACAGTTCACGGGCCCGTAGCTTGGTTTTATTTGAAGTACAAATTATATTAATGGAGGTACAAAATAGTACAAAATAAGTACTAAATAGTAGTATAGCTTATAACCATAGGTTCCGATATGGCCGGGCTGAGGGGTCATTGACCTGAACAGGTAACGGGCCCGTAGCTTGGTTTTCTTTGAGGTACAAATTATATTAATGGAGGTACAAAATAGTACGAAATAAGTACTAAATAGTAGTATATTTTATAACCATAGGTTACGGTATGGCCGGGCTGAGAGGTCATTGACCTGTACAGTTAACGGGCCCGTAGCTTGGTTTTCTTTGAGGTACAAATTATATTAATGGAGGTACAAAATAGTACGAAATAGGTACTAAATGATGGTATACATATTAGGATCAAATTCGAAAATGGCCGGGCCAGCATGTCACTGGCCCGGAATCCTAAATTAATTAGTTATCCGGTACAGAGTGGGGTACTAATTTTTTGTTTGTTGGTACTAAATAGTACGAAATAGGTACTAAATATTAGCATAATTCTTATGTACTAATTCCGTCATGGCCGGGCCAGTGACATGGACGTTCGGTTTGGCAACCTGCTCCACCCCTTGCCGCCGAAAGTGCGCGGCGCGATCTACTGTGACTGTGTCCGATACTTGGGTAGGTATAAGGGAAGGATCAAATTAACACGACTTCAGTACACGCCGTGAGATTATTAATTTGTTTTTCGTAAAAAGCTGTCCACATAACTGGAATTGCAGTTTCGTGTTGGCAAAATACACTCAATGAGCATTAAGTTGTACAGTATGTGTGTTTAAATAGTTTTAAATAATTTAGGGAAAATCGATAATAGGCCCAAGTTATGTACAGTAGAACAACAAGACTCTCATTGTTATTGTAAAATAAGACTTGTCATCAAGGTTGTCTTCTTATCGAGGTTTGTAATAACATGTGATTAGGGGTACGATAATTTAAAGGGGATTTGAAAATGGCTCTTGTTATCAAGGGCGACTTGTTATCAAGAGTCTTCTTATCAAGTTTCCACTGTTGGAAGCTTTGTCGACTTGCTACTATAAGCACAGAAATGTTTACTATCACAAAAACCCCGCTGTGCAGTAGTATGAAACAGTACGCATACTCAACAACTCACATCTTTTAATATATAAGAAAACATAGAAAGTTTAAATGCTGTGTTAATTCGAGTACGGTAAGTACAATGGGAATGTTTAGTTTGGTGTTAAAATGTATAGGTATCCTTTTTGTCACAATACAAATTTGTCAATTGATCAATTGATAGGTCTACTCTCCTACACTAAGTTATAGCCATTTTAATGTTTATAAACAAGTATCATATCATAGACAAATAGAATAAATATAGACTGTCAAATGAAGGTACAGGCGCCCAACGCTAGGAGTGCCGTGTAGTTACGGCGCGCCGCACACCGCTGCAGGCGAGGAGCGTAGGAGCCGTATGCGACCAGCAGGGACGCTGCCCACTAGCGCTACACTACTAGCGGTGGACGCCAGAACTTATGCTAACCGCAGCACAGCTGATGTTCTATATTTATTCTATTTGTCTATGATCATACTCACTTTGGTTTGCGTTCTTAAATAATCCTACAAAAATAAATCAAGTAGCCTATACTAAATTAATACTAAACTAATATATTTAATCAATTTTATTTTAGATTAACATGTGTGGTATATACTTTTATCGACAATACAGTATAATTAATTGTTACCAATTACGTAGCCATAGGGGACTCTTATCACACATAAGCTGGCTAAAACCTGCTGAAACCCATATTAGTTTTTAAATTCAATTATCAATTAGCAATCGTTGAAATTTGGACAACACCTAGGTGCGTATTTTAAGATAAATATGAGTGAGTATTTCAAGTTTGTTTTGTGTGCATATGAGTGATGGATGGAGTGA